TGCCTTGGTGTGTGTTTCATTGGGTCTAACTTCTTTCAGACTCTCTGAGCTTCCTGGATCTCCTGGAAGTCTATTTGCTTTGCAAGATAGGGGAAGTTCTCCTTCAATATTTTTTCAACTAAGTTTTCAATTTCTTGCCCTTCCTCTTCTCCTTCTGGCACCCCTATGATTTGGATGTTGGAAGGTTTAAAGTTGTCCCGGAGGCTCCTAAACCTCTCCTCATTTTTTTGAATTCTTGTTTCTTCATTCTGTTCTGGTTGAATGTTTATTTCTTCCTTCTGCTCCAAATCATTAATTTGAGTCCCAGCTTCCTTTCCTTCACTGTTGGTTCCCTGTATATTTTTCTTTATTTCACTTTGCATAGCCTTCACTTTTTCCTCTATTTTGCGACCATACTCAACTAATTCTGTAAGCATCCTGATTACCAGTGTTTTGAACTGTACATCTGATAGGTGGTCTATCTCTTCATCACTTAGTTTTATCTTTGGAGCTTTGATCTGTTCTTTCATTAGGGCTATATTTCTTTGAACTCTACATCCGATAGATTGTGCTTATATCTATTTCATTTAGCTCTTTTTCTGGAGTTTTGATCTATTTTTTTCATTTGGGCCATGTTTCATTTGGGTCATGTAGCACCTGCTACATTGTAAGGGGCAGAGCCTTAGGTATTTGCCAGGGTGGGGCATGCTGCATTGTGATGTTATGTATGTGGGAGGGGTCCAGGAAGGAACAATGCCTCTGGCTCCACTCTCACCGGCTCTCAGTCACTCCCCACGACTACCCACAAGCAAATTGGGCCCTTCTAGTGCTGATTCCAGGGTAGGAGGGTTTGTGTACATTCTAAGACCCTGTGGGTCTCTCCAACGTACTCTCCCATGAGACTGAGTATCTCTCCTGTCACCACAACCCCTAAAGGTTTTTACAGCCAGAGGTTTTGACACTTCTTTTCCCTGGGTTGTGCAGTCTGTTTTGCTCTCCTGTTGTTTCCCCCAGTTTATCTGCACACAAATGTGGGACCACCAATCACTGCCTCGTCTGCCTGGTCCTCCAGCCACTGCCTTGCCATGTGTCCTCTCCACCCAACTGCCTGTCTCTGCCCCGCCTACCAGTCTGAATGAATGTTTCTCCTTTAACCCCTTGGTTGTCCGACTTCCATACAGTTTGATTATCTGGCAGTTCTGGTTGTTTTTGTTTTTAAATTTGTTGTCCTTCTTTTGGTTGTGCAAGGAGGCAAAGTGTATCTATCTATGCTTCCATCTTGGCCAGAAGTTCACATGTATACCTTTTAAAGGAATGAAGTACCAATGTATCTATAACATGATGAAACTTAAAAACATTATACTAAGAAAAAGAAGCCAGTCACAAAAGACTACATATTGTTAGATCCTATTTCTATGAAAGGTCCAAAAGAGGCAATTCTGTAGAAAGTAAGTTAGCAGTTGCCAAGAGTTGGAGGATGGCTTAAGAGGAAATGGAGAATGAGTGCTTAATGGGTATGGGGTTTCTTTGGGGGATGATGAAATGTTCTAAAATGATTTTGGTCCTAGCTGTACAACTCTGTGAATATAATAAAAAGGATTGAACTGTACACTATGTAGGTGAGTTGTATGATAGGTGAATTATATCTCAATAAATCTGTTTTTAGAAAGGGTAGAAAGGGCAGCCTGAAAAGTTCCGCTCCTGCCTCCCTCCCCCAAGGCCTCCTATAACCCCAAGGGGAGGATGGGGTGTCTGGCGTCTTAGGTTGAGAAAGGAAATGAGGAAATGTGGGACACAGAAGGGTGTTTTGAGGGGTTCTGCTCCCATGGGAAGTAGGCACACTCGGGTAGGGGTGGGGTGGTGCCCCTGGGGGTGGGACATAGGGGGCAGGACGATGGCGAGGGGAGTGGGGCAGCTGAGCGAGCAGCCCCAGGCGAAGCCAGCGGCTTGGCGCAGCTCCCGGCTCTGCAGCTGCCTCGCCTCTAGGCAAAACTCTCTGGTCTTCGTGACTTCCCCTGTTACAAAGTCTTTATTCTGGGAACACAGCCTTAAGAGAGGAAAATCCCTCGAACCCTATCCATACCTTTCTGGGGACCTCCTTTCAGATTGTTTTTCTGCACATAGTATTTTTGGGGTCCATTAGGGAAAGGGACCCTGAAAAGCTCCAGAGAGAAGTTCGAATACATGCGTCTATTCTGAGGCACTAACAATGGCTGTCCACTTTTTGTAAAAACAAAACAAGTGAGGAGACCAGGATGTGCTTGCACAGAAAAAAAGAGCATGTGAGGACACAAGGAGAAGGCAGCCATCGGCCGCCAAGGATTGGGACCTTGGGAGAAACCAAACCTGCTGACACCTTCATCCAGGACTTTCAAACTCTAAAATTGTGAGGAAATAAATTTCTGCTGTTTAACTATCTCCTCCCCCGCCCCGCCCCGCCCCCAAATATGTTAGTTCTTTTATATATGCAATGTTCCTTCCTTTGTTCAACAAGTATGTCTCGAGCACCTCGGCTGGCTGGGTCTTGATCCAAGTGCGGTGGTTACAGCGGAACTGGGAAGCAAAGACCCCGGGAGGCGGGGCGGGGTGCCGGGGGGTGGGAGGCAGAGGCCAGTGGGCGTGTGGGAACCGCGGGGACTAAGGAGGATCCTGCTCTGTGCAGGGGTGGGACAGCACATGGTGCCAGGTTTCTGCAAGAGCTGTAGAGAAAAGGCTATTGAGTGGGCTGCTTTAGAAGCACAGGCGGGGAGGGGAGAGTCAGGACGTCAGAGGACCTGCCTGAAAGGCAGCAACTCAGAGCAAAAAAGACAAGGGGATTAGCCAGCAAGCAGAGGAGGAGCAGGGAAGGGGGGAGCCAATTATTTTTTTTTTTTATTTGTGACATGCGAGATTTTTATTGGGCTACACAATCACATTGAACTTCAAAGTATTGTTTTCAGCAACTGTTCCCTGTTTATTTTAAATCGCTTTCTTTTACTTGAGTTTTTAAATCCTGATTTTTTGCTGTGTACCAGAGTGTTCTCTTGAATAACTTCTTCCTTAGAGAGAGGCAACCTTTCTGAGTCTTGGCAGCTGTGAAGAAAATGTCTTTCTGTTGCCTTTATCAGAAATCAGCAGTTTAACCAGGTAGAGAATTCACAGATCACAAACTTCCCTCTCAGAGTTTCACAGAACTTTCCAACTTCTGTCAATCTAATGGCCAAAAACATCACATGCCACCTAAATGTGCATCCACAAGAGACTGGTTAAATCGATCAGGGGACAGCTAACCAATGAGATACTATCTGTAAAAAAGAGCAAGGAAGCTATTTCTTCACTGATGTGGAAAGATCTGTAAAATATATTAAATAAAAAATATTTTTTAAGTTGCAAAAAAGGGGGGTATACAGGTATGTGCTGGTAAATGCATAAAACATCTCTGTAAGATGGGGTAAATGGTAATAAAAAATACAATAAAATAAAAAATTCTAATTAAAAAAATTAATCTCTGTAAGGATACAGAAGAAACTAGAAACATTAGTTTCCTCTCTAGAGGGAAATAGGGTAGTTGGGGAGTAAAGGTACTAAGGAGACTTTTAATTGTTTAAAAAAAATCTTTTCTATCTATCAAATTTGAATCTTGGGGATGTTTTGTTAAGAATACAAATAAAATACAATCCCTGTACTCTCCTTTAATTTTACTTTAAAAATCAGAATAAAGGGCACAACTCAAAGCACCACAAAGCACTGGTACGTTTTGCTTTCTCTTCAAACAGACTTCTCCATGGAGACCCCAGGGCAGGGGTTGGGGGAGGCCTGGATCGGACAGCCTTGCTCCTTCCTACGCTTGCAATGAATGCAGGCATTCCCCAGGTGTAGCTTATATTTCTTTCCACTCTTTCATTGAACTGGACCATCCCTTCCCATGAGAGCCGTCCAGTCTTTCTTCAGCCCAGGAAGATTTTCTTGTTTCCTTCTGTGTTTCTTTCTGCCCTCCTCTCCCTGTCTCTCTCCCTCTCCCTCTCCTACACCTTCACCCATGTATTGGCTTTTCTGGATCTCTCCTGCATGTCCCTTATCTTTTCTCTATTGTTCCTTTATATTTCTCCTCTGAGTTCTCAGACAATCCCATGAGATTCTCTTATTTTCTGTTTCAGTTCTCCCCTCCAATGTGGAAGCTCTCATGGAAGATTTTGGTTTGGAAATCCTTTTTCATCCTCAAGAATTTTTTCTATTCACAGATTATTTCCTCTTTCCAGCTGCCAGTCTTTGTTTTGGCAATGCCATGTCTCTCAAATATTAATGAGAATACAAAGTAGTGTTGTTAGGTTTTTATTTTACTATTGTTATTCTGTTTTCTGTTGCTTCTGGTGCTCTGTTTAATGAATGTGGAAGGCTCCTTCACTGACCCTGGGTACATGCAGTACTTGAGGAGTCTCACTACAAGGACATTTAAGAAGCTCAGCTCTTCTCTGACCAGCGTGGTCCAGTTGATTGGGTGATATCCCACAAAGAAAAAGGTCACGGTTCAATTCCTGGTCAACACACACGCCTGGTTTGCAGGTTCTTCCGCTGTTGGGGCCCAATCAAGGGGTAACCCATTGTTTCTCTGGCTCTCTTTCTCCCTGCCTTCCCCTCTCTCTAAAAATAAGTAAATAAAATCTGGAAGAAAAAAGAAAGCAGCAGCAGCTCAGCCCTGACCTTGGGGTGAGCACTTGGAAGTGTCACCATAGCGACACTTAAGAGGTTCAGCCAGAGACCACAAGGTCTGGGGTAGGTCAGGGTAACTGCTCTGAACAGGGTCCTCGCCATCCCCTCCCCCACAGAACTGCCCTGGTTCCCGATATACGGCAGCAGGAAGCACCGCCCCCTGCCCTCCTCAAACAGCCACTTCTGAGCCTTTGTCCACTAGGTGTGTTTCAGGCGGGGGACTGGGCCCAGGGCTTCACAGAGCTCCTAGCGAAGCCAGGTGCGTCTGTCACAGTTGCCCTCCCCACGTGTGGAGAACAAACCACTGTCCCCTCCCCCAGGGCAGTTCTGACCTTGGAGAGGGGCTCCTGGTCACCCCAGAACTTCTTTTCAGGTATCGTGCACTTCGTGGGCAGTTCCTGGTCCATGGCCAGTGGGTTGAGGGGGGCCAGCATCCGGCCTCGCTGCACGTCCAACAACGACAGCTTGAAGTGGCCCAAGGCCCTGACGAGGGCCGCCCAAGGCAGACTACTGCGCTGGACTGCGCCATCAGCAACTGGGTCCAAGGGTGGCTGCACGCTACCTTCCTGGGGCGCGGTCTTCCCACCCTTGTCCGGGTATTTTTCAGAGCTAGGGGCGCGCGGTGGCTGGGAGTCCATCTCGGAGCCCCACCTGCCAGTGGCCGTCACCCTGGCCTCGGTGCAAACGGTGGCAGCGCGCGCCACGCCCCACGGCCAGCCCTCGGGTCTGGCACGCCCCGCCTCATCCCCACACCCCGCCCCCAGACGCCCAGCAGTCTTGCTGCCTCCACTCATCGCGGAACATAGTTACCCGTAGAAAAACGGGCTTTCAGTTCTGAGCACAAAAGGAATGACATCATGTGTGTGAAACCAACGGCCCCATCTTCACATTTTTTTGCATCTTCCTAGCTCCAAGACAATCTTCGGGTGTCCTCTGCCACTGCTCCCGGGCCAACCCACTTTATGTCAACAACAGAGAAATGGTCGGTAAATTAGAGAATAGGCCCTGGATAAATTAAGATGCAGCTATAGGGGTGGGTACACACACTATGTAAAAGCATGAGGAAAACATCTGTCCCAATACCATGAAAATAACTGAGAACAAAATGTCTGGGCTTTTCGGGTAGCAGTCTCATCACTAGAAAATGCCCAGGGTTGCGCGGCCGAGAGGGGAGGCCGTGTGGGTGGCTAGGAGGTAGAAGTTCTTTTCTTCTTTCTTTCTCACTTTAAAATTGGCCTAATCTATGATGTCACTTTGATAGTGAAAAAACCTCTGTAATTTACTTTTGTCAAAGGTCTCATCAGTGCAGAGAAGGCAGCCTCAGAGCAGAGGGCCAGGGGGTGAGCATATACTCTCCCACCTTGTTCTTGGTGCTTCAGCTACACTAGTGACATCTACCCAGATATGCTGAGGCCACCTGTCAGGAGGCACTGCGCAGCCCCCTGGACTCCTGGCTGCCACTGTCAACTGCCAGAGGGAGGAGCCCGACCTGAGAGGAAAACCTGCAGGAGTGGAAAGGAAAGGACAGCTTCCCTTTTGTACAAGTCCTTAGATAAAGCCACTGTCCTTAGCTGGACTTGGCTTTCTTCACAACAAAACCAGAGAAAAGTCTTCACTTTTTTTTTTAAGATTTTATTTATTTCTTTTTAGAGAGATAGGAAGGCAGGGAGAAAGAGAGGGGGAGAAACATCATGTGTTGTTGCCTCTCATACACCCCCACCTGGGGACCTGGCCCGCCACCCAGGCATGTGTCCTGATGGGGATCAAACCAGCGACCCTTATGGATCACAGGCCGGTACTCAATCCACTGAGCCGCACCGGCCAGGGCAAGTCTTCACTTTTCTTTTCTTAAATTTCAGGAAATAAAAAACCAAGAAGGAAATAGAAAAATTCCACTTTAATTAAACAGTACAGTCTAAACTTTTTCCTTTACAATAACCAGTTAAAAATAGAAACCAATTTCTGCAACCTTCCAAGGCAGCCTTTGAAATGTCAAGGTTTAAAAAATTATTTTACAGCATGAATTTACATACATACAATCTGTACAATGTATTAACTGAGCAATCAAAGGGCTTCCATCATGGAGGAGGTCTGGTTTGGGGACATGCCAGGGCTGAATTCTACTATTGTCTTCTTAGTGGAAGACATTTTAGCCTGGAAAAGGAAATAAAAAAGAAGAAAAGTTAGATATGAACTGAAAAACCCAACAGCGCAGTTTTATTAATGCTTCACTGAGCTATGACACTGGTATGTAGGGTTCTTTTTTAATCGCTGCTAGCGTACTCACCCTGACTAATATAACTGGCTATCCATTTGGAGAAAGAGACGTTAGATGCTTACCGTACTATGTTTAAAACAAACCCCAAAACTACAAAAACATGAGAATAGTTCACATACATATATAAAATCTTGGGTTAGGGAAGGCCTTTAAAAGACAAAAATGTACAACATACCAACAAAGAAAATTGGTAACACTGAGTACACCAAAAATTAAAGCTTCTGTACAAGGACAATTAAAATTACATGATAGGTACTACACTAAAACACAAAGGATTAATATCCACAATTATTATTTTTTAATTCCTAAAAATCAGTCAAACAGTACATAAAACCACTAAAACAATCTAACAGAAAACAGAACACTGCGCAAGGGATGTGAGCAAGCTGTTCACAAAAGAGCACATGGCAAAGGCTGAGACACACCGGAAAGGATGCTCAACCCCATTAATAATCCTGGGAATGCAAATTAAAATGCAGGCCATTCTTCACCCGTCTTACTAGCAAATATTTTTGTACCATTTCTATTCTATATAATAACAAGGTACTTTCAAAATTTAAACTGATACAGCCACTTCAGGAAGCAATTGGGCAGTATTTATTCATTCTAAATGTTCATACTCTACTTATGCTACATAAAATTATACAATTTATATTATAAATGTGTAACAAAATGTATGTGTGTTACATGTATGTTACATGTATGTCATTATACAAAAAATTCTTAAAAGTTACATATGAAGCTGACAACAGAGGTTACTGTGGAAAGAGGAGAAGTTTGCGGAATTGGTCAAGGACCATTTTAAGTAAGGTATGAATTTTCACAATGAATGTAATGGCCTATTATATAATTAAAAATTAACTTTAAAAATCCTATTTAATATGCAAATTTATCGCTTCTGATATTTGCCTCTAAGCAAATACACCATGATTTTAATGAGCCTTTGAAAGGTCCCTGAAAACCGCCGTCTGCCATCGCCTACCGCCTCAGCAGTTCCTGGGGCGACGTGTCTGCGGCACCTTCTTCACTCTGGCTATCACTGCTGTCGGTACTCTCAGAAGTACTTTTCTCTGATTTTTTATTCTTTTGCTTGCCTTTGTGTTTGTGCTTCCGGTGTTTCTTCTTCTTAAAAAAGAAAAGAAAGGAAGAAAGTTGCTGGCGCACACTCACCCAGGTGTTTCCTCCCTGACTTGTACAAGGACAGGCTAATGAGGCATCGGATTCCTGGGGTTGTTCAAAAACATGAACAGAGCCTTACAGGGAGCAGGCCTCAGCCTAGTATGGGACAGACCAGGAACACACAGCTGTGCACTCTCTCCACCATGCACGCACTCATAGAATCGATCCCCCGTGAACACGCACAGCAAAACCAAGCAGATGTAGGCATGGTACTGCCTTGATACTTAGCCCCCATTTTATCCCAGGCGACCACTGCCACTTCCCATGAACCTGAATGGTCCATTTTGTTAGGCATATGTGATAAACTACACATCAGGATGGCAAACACCCTGGAAATGTACAAGGAAGAAATTGGTAGAAAATCAGAGAACAGCAGATACACTAGTAAGAAACAAATGAATATGATTTTTGAACGTGTCAGCACCAACTTTTTTCCTTTCACTGCAAGAGAACTTTCCTCATCTTATATGCTCAGGAATCCTTCCTTTTGATAGTCAGTAAAGGAGCTGTTTCTAGTCAATTCTACTACTGCCCAGCCCACTTTGGTACCCAACACTAATACTCGCTGAATTAAAAGCCTGCGCCTAACTGAAAAGAAGACCTGGGCGATGGGATAAGGGATGTCAACACACACACCATTCATTCAGGATTTCTTTACTTCAAATGTTAAGCTGTAAACCAGCTCTCTATGTAATGATGATGAAGTTGTTGAGAGATGTTCAAAATACGACCTTCATTTAATATTGAATGAGTAACCAAATTAAACTGTTTTATTATTTTAATCCTCAACAATTACTCTAAGATACTTAAAATCCTTTTTCCTACTTTTTAATGCTCACAAATTTACAGAAAACTTAAGAACAATTGAACAAATTAAAATATTCTGTCCGAAAGAAAAACAAAGCTTCTGAAAATTGAGGGTTCGCAATTGAATGTCTAGCCCACACTTCGGTCAACGTGTCACAAACCCATGTGTCCCCATCTTGGCCACAAGATGCTCTCAACAGGCTTCATGTGTGACACCTGGAGGCTTGTCGGGATGACAGAAGCAGGAGCAACAAATGCCACACACTGATCTCAGGACACCCAGAAGTTACTTACCTTCTCTTTCTTCCGTCTGTGTTCTTTCTTGGTCTTGTGTTTTTCTTTGTTCTTTTTATGTTTCTCTTTTAGAGGAAGCTCGAGCTTCTGACGAGCATCTGAAACACAAATGCACTCAACACATGAACTACAGGGGGAAAGAGAGGATAAATTATTGATTTAGGAATCTGCCTTAGATGGAATGTTTAACATTAAGGCAGAACTCCTGCCCTGCCTTACTGATATACAAACAGATTAGCCTATCCCATGTTAGCTCTGGATTTAGAAACAGCCAGGAACATCAACCAGTATTTTGCCAGATGAAAATAAAGTCAGACATAATGCCCAAAAGCCTTTTGTAATTTAACATCCTCAATTAAGCTCAGAATCTGAACCTGAGCTCTACTGCTAGTTCTGTGGTCTCTGGCACCTCGCTTAACCGCTTCATGCCTGTTTCCCCTTCCATAAAACAGAGATAAGAAGAATCCCTATCTTCTTGGGGACAAGGAGAAGATGAGATGGAACCATGAATACAAATCCCATAGCCCGGAATCTGGCACATAAATGTCAGCTCCTCTCACATCATTCTCCCTTACAAAAGCACATTCAATACAAATTTGTCTTGTAAGTGGAAACACTAAAAAATATAACATCAGAGCAATGTGATATATGTAATCATTAAAACGACAAGTTGTAGGCACCTAAGTTTTCCACCTCTAAATTCTGATCAAAGTGCTTTCATAGGTCATTAATTTCCAGGTACCCAAGCCAGCAAAAATTCACAATAGTAGAAAAAGTGTTGCAAATCATTATATCACCTTTTTCCACCTAAAGAAAAGTTCCAAGGTGTTTCAGAAGTGTGGATATTTTCCAAACCTAGTTAACTGGTGCCTGCAATTTTCTACTCCTATGGTTTGGTCAGATATTTAAAAAACTGACCTCCCCAAACTTTTTTTTTTAATGCTAGTTTTTGGAAAACCATTTTCCCTCAATAACCCATAGACCAAATTAAGTTATTAACTCTTCCAAGGATATCAAGGACAGTCTGGAAAATGGGCATAAATAACAGCTTTCAAGAGACTAACACATTTTAAGCTAAAGATCTGAACAACTAAAACACATAAATGCATTCACTGCAATTTTTCAAAACTTCACCCTTTTTACTCCTCTCTGCTTCTTATCATCTCTTTGAAGGCTGGGTTAATTAACTAAAACAATATTTATACATGTGAGCACTACAGAAAACTATAAAGTAGATAACAATTATTTATTATTCATATACCTGAGCCACGTTATCAGAGGTTTGTTAACCCAGCCCTTCGAAGAGATGATAAACCCGTCTAAGCATTTTAACATGAGATGCCAGTTTAAGGTGGCAATGGCTCCTGGACATGGACCACAGTGTGGTGACTGTAGTGGGGAAGGCGAGTGGGGGTGGAAGAGGGTGTAAGGGGGATAAATGGTGATGAAAAAAATACAATAAAAAATAAATTGAACAATTTTTTTAAATGATGATTTTTTAAAAGTTGGCACCAAACAGAAGTCATTAACAGTTATTGGAGGAAAATGGGCTATATTTACTTCTGAAAGAATTTATTTATTTTTATTTGCTATGTTAGTCAAAGTATAAAAAAGTCTTAGAATATTCTACTCCCTGCAATTCCCTTCCCATTTTTGTGTCCTAGATTTTCACTTTTTTTTTATTTCTATAAGTGACAACACTTAAGATACTTAAGACTCTAACTGTAAATATCTGAAAGTTAAAATGGAAAAAAAAAAACCCTGACTATTGTGGCTTAGTTGGTTGGCCATCGTCCCCCCAAACGAAAAAGTTTGCCAGTTCTACTCCCAATCAGGGCACAAGCCTGCATTTCGTGTTTGGTCTCAGTCAGGGTGCGTACAAGAGGCAACCAGTCAATATTTGTCACTCACAGGAATGTCTCTCTCTATCTCCTTCTCCTTCCCTTCCCCTCCCTCTAAAAATAAATAAAGTTTTTAAAAAAAGGAAAGAAAAAATTTTTTAAAAGCTTAAAGGTCTCTGAGGCTATAAAGCAACAACTATCATTGAGGCACTAGGTGGAGTAATAGGTTTCAAAATATGGCTGAGAACAGATAAATCAGAAACAAGTGTGTATGTTTGGTAGGCCTCATGTTGGATTAGATGGATGGATGTAACAGGGTTATCATATCTCAGGGGACACTCTGGTGCCGGTGCCAACAAGTGAACCAAGGAGCTCTCGACTCACTGGGGCAGAAGACGGGAGGCAGCCGTGGGCCAAACTCTTCTCTTTCATCAATTTGCATCTTCTGTATCACGAAGGAAGGTGCAGGCTCCTGGGGAGCCAGCTCACTAGCTAAAAAGAAAAGGATATTATTTTCATATATTTGCCAAATATTAATGTTTTTGAGTCTCTAAATAATATCTGTTGCCACCAGATAATGTGTGCTTTCCTTCACCACTTTGCTTAACCAGTTTAGCTCACAACAGGTGCTAAGGACACAGGCGCTATGAACACATGGACCTGACCTCCGACCTCATAGGCATTAGAGCAGGAAAGTCAGCCACACAAGGATACCTGCAGTCAAATGCACCAGGGTCTGTACAGCACACATTCCTGATCACCCACTGCAACCTGAAGCATTGAAAAAGGTCCTTGAAGAAGGGACATCTGAGAAAACTAAAACTTACAAACAGGAATGTAAGACTATGTTCCAGCTCAGAAAGCTTCATTTCACTCAAAATGAATTATCAGCCCTGGCTGATGTGGCTCAGTGGACTGAGTGCCGGCCTATGAACCAAAAGGTCACCTATTCAATTCCCAGTCAGGGCATATTGCCTGGGTTGCAGGCCCAGTCCCTGGTTCATGGCATGCAATAGGCAACCAATCTATGTATCTCTTGCATAGCAATGTTTTTCTCCCTTTCTTCCTCCCTTCCCATCTCTAAAAAAATAAATAAATAAAATCTTAAAAAAAAAGAATTATCAAAGAGGAGAAAACCTGAACATAAACAAATTGTCATGTTCACATTAATAATCTCATTTTTTAAAAAACAGATGATTATGTTTTCAGATAGAAGAGATAAAAATAGAAAAAGTCTAGAAAAATAAGAATCAAAAGTGTTCATAATGATTATCTCTGGGAAGGAGGATCCAAGGGACTTAAGCTTTCTATATGTTTATACTTTTAAAATTCAAGTATATATGACTTTGTAATAAAATATAAGTTTCCGCCCTGGCTGGTGTGGCTCAGTGGATTGAACGCCAGCCTGTAAACCAAAAGGTCGCCAGTTCAATTCCCAAGTCAGGGCACATGCCTGGGTTGCGGGCCAGGTCCCCAGTAGGGGGGTGCATGAGAGACAACCACACATTCATGTTTCTCTCCCTCCCTTTTTCCCTCCTTTCCCCTCTGTCTAAAAATAAATAAATAAATCTTTAAGAACACGAAAGCTTTATTACATATAAATATAAAATATAAAAAAGAGGCTGACATTTGCAATCACCTAAGAACAAAAACTATTTTCTACCACTATGTAACTTTTTGGTTAAAGGCCCTCAAAAATTATACCCAAGTCCACCACAAATTGACAGTATAGGCAGAGCACTCTAAGACTGAGATCGGAAATTCTGTTCACCCACTCAAGCATCTGAAAAGTCTTCCACACTTGCAAGTTCAAGACAGGCTCCTCTCCTGTGCCAAAACTCCAGCTGGGGTAAACAGAGCAAAGAAGAGCTATCCAAGTGTCCGACTCATAGTAATGAGGACAGACCCCACCTGCCGAGTGATGGTTGATCCAGACCATACAATGTGCCCTATAGAGAGAAAGCTGGAAGAGCCCCTGTATTCATGACTAAATATTATCCAGTTATCCTAACACCTCATTATCAACCAGGTTTGGGGGGGGGAAGTTATTTTTAAACAAAATTTTTAATATTTTTAAATTCTTCTCAACTAAGATTAGTAGGAAAATCAGTATTATCAAGCACAGCTATTCTAAAAATACAAGGTATACCAGAGATTTATACTACGTAGATAACACAGAACTCTGGTCTACCCCAATAAAAATGTAAAAGATTAAAATACCACTTGAATGCTAATTATCCTGATTTGAAATTAGCAGTAAACAAAGCATTCTAAAATACTGACATACTGTGTGCCACAGACGATGTTTCTGGCATGTCGGCCTCCTGGGAACTTTTGAAGCCGGCCTCCCCGGTACCCTCCTGATCATCCTCACTGTCACCCTGCTCATCCTCAGAGGATGAGGACTTTTCTTCAGAGGAGCTGGCAAAGATGGCCTTGAATAAGTCCATGGATGGGCGGCTATCTTCTCCTTCAGTCTGTGAATCCACACCTTTGTTTACCAGCTGTATTAATAGTGAAATAAGAGTCATAAACGAAGAAGCAAGGATTAAAGGAGCCAAATGTTCTAGAACACACACATACATATTGATGTTTATACTCATGTACATGGGTCTCCACACCAATACACTGCCTAACTAAACAATTATCACACACGGCCTTTATTTTTGTAGTGTTTCTGATTCAACAACAGCAGAATGTGTTGAATGGTAGAAGCAACTGAACTCTCTCATGGAGACAGGTCATTAATCAGAACTGTAGAGAAAAAAATGCAGTAGGAAATATCAGTATCTCTATTGTGTTCTCAAGAGTCTATCTGAGCCTTCAGAGGACCAATATTAAAGGTACTGAAGACAGTCCACACTCGTAAAAATGCTGAAGAGAAAACCACTTTGCTTGACCAGCTTAGCTCATACCAGGCGCTGAGGACACAGGGCCCTCCATACAATGGGGAGGTGGTCAGGAACACATTGGTAAAATGACCACAGAACTTCTCTTTGCAACTATACATGACTCTTCCTAAAAGAAGACAGATATGGGCATTCATATTAACCAAATAAAGAGCCAGTAACTGTATACACTTAATTCAATAAGCAAAAAGCAAAGGTATGAAGAAGACTTAGCTCCCTCCCTCCAAGAGCTTATCACCAGACGGACGCTGGGCAATCTAATGTGCTAAACAATGCGAGAGAGTCCCAGGACTGGCCTACATCACAATCCACTTGAATCCTTTCATTTTACCACTGGACCACCCAGGTCAGAGATGAGAGGCCCAAGGAGTGGATCTGGACTCTACTACTCAGCGTTCCTCACTCTCAGCCAATGATCACTCGCCCATAACACACCACCTCCATGGAGCAAAATTACAAATACCCACATGAGGAAAACTGGCATAAGACAGTGGCATTTGTGGTTTTAAAGTAAACTCTTTTCATAGAAAAAATTAAAGAGGAAAAGTATACCATTCCCTACCAAAAATAACCAGGGCATGTAGGAGAAAGGACTAATTCTAGAGCTGGAACTGAGAAATAAAAAGAGTAACCCAGAAAAATCTTACTGCACCAGAAAGCCAGGCCATGCCCAGAGAGAGACAGGGATATTTCAAAAGTAAACAAAAGCCAACTCGAAGGGGCTCCAACTAGCCACACTAGTACAATTTGTGCATTAAAATAAATTATGACAGTATCAAATTTATCCCTTTGGATAAAATAGAAAAAAAGAAATAGTTTGATGAGAAACAGGGTATTTATATTTCAAAGCTCCTAAATACTTACTAAAAGTAATTAAGTGCCCTGACCAGAGTGGCTCAATTGGATAGGTCTCATCCCACAAAGTGAAAGGTTGCTGGTTCAATTCCCAGTCAGGGAACATGCCTGGGTTGCAGGCCAGATCCCTGGCTGGGGTGTGTGCAAGAGGCAACAGATTGATGTTTCTCTCTCACATCGATGTTTCTCTCCCTCTCTTTCTCCTTCCCTTCCCCATTTTTAAAAATAAATAAATATTTTTTTTAAATCCACTTTAAAGATAATGAATTAGAGAGGTTAAAATGATGAAAAAATAATTCTATGCAAATTATCAGGGATAAAGAGTGATATTACATGGTAAGTTCACCAAAAAAAAAATAATAATCCTAAATCAGTATGTAATTAACAAGAGGAAATAAGCTTCAAAATACCTGAAGCAAAACCACTTTGGAATACAGTCAGGCAGTTTCTTATAAAGTTAAATCTGTAAGTACATATTACCCAGCATTCCCATTACTAGATATTTACCCTAGAGAAATAAAATCTTTTGTCCACATAAGAATCTGCACATGAACCCTGGCCGGTGTGGCTCAGTGGACTGAGCGCCGGCCTGCAAACCAAGAGGTCAACTGGTCCAATTCTCAGTCAGGGTGCATGACTGGGTTCCAGGTCAGGTCCCCAGGAGCGGTCACATGAGAGGCAACCACACATTGATGCTTCTTTCCCTTTCTCCTTCCCTTCCCCTCGCTCTAAAAATAAATTAAAAAAAAAAAAAAAAAGAATCTGCACATGAAAGTTCAAAGCAGCTTTATTTATGATAGCCAAAAGCTGCAAACAACCATATGTCCTTAAAGAGTAAACAAACCAACAAACTGTGGTACACCCATACAACAAAATAGTATTCAGCAATAAAAAGGAATGAACTATTGATACATGCAAAATACTGATGAATCTCAAAGGTATGATGCTGAATGAAAGAAGCCAGTCTCAAAAGGCTATATGTATATATTGTCTGATTCCATTTATACAACATTCTGGAAAGAGCAAAACTATAGAGACAGAAAAGAGATCAGATCAATGGTTGACTGGGGTTTCTATTTGATATAATAACAAGGTACTGGCGAAAAACCTTGAGGTTTGAGGTAAAGAGATGGTATGACCACAAAGAAATATTCATGAGGAGGTTTTCTGTGATGACAGTACCGTTATGTATCCTGATCGTGGTAGTGATTACACAGATCTATATATGTGTACAAATTATTAAACTGTACATTTAAAAAGTTAATTTTAATGTAGCTATTAGAAATAAAACCAACTTTTTATTAAGTTCAATTTACAACTATTAAAGCAGTGATTAAAAAAAAATCCAGTGGATGTTTTCTCTGTATTCTCCACAGAAGAGAATACTTATTATTTGGAAAATTATATTTTCCAATACACATACAGAGAAGTTCATAACCTCTCTTCAAATGATTTAAGCTAAGATTCAAATTTTTGGACTGGAGAACAGGTGCTGGCAAAATAGAGCCCAGGGGCCAAATCCAACTCGCTGCCTGTTTTTGTAAATAAGTTTTATTGGAACATACATGAGCCCAACTGTTTTCATATTGCCTGTGGTTCCTTTCACATTCATCAGCAGGGTTGAATAGTTGTGATAGAGACTATGGCCCACAAAGCCTTTAATATTTAATATCAGGCCCTTCACAGAAAAACTGTGCTGACCCCTTTTCACCACAGAGAAAGGTAAAGGCCACAGCTGGCCTGGCAAAGAGACCCAGGAAGCCCCAAATACCTTGTCTGAGAGTGCTTCCTTCACTTGCTCTTCCTCTGTGTTTGCTAATGGACTGGACTCCTGTTTAAGTGGACCAACTTTTGATCTAGCCAAACTCAAGAATTCACTAATGGAATCTTCCTTCTTTCCTTGTTTAGATGTATCCCTAGATGTATCCCATCTGGATGGTTTTCTGGATCCTGAAAAGCAGGACATAGACATAACGTCAGAATTAGCAAGCAAAACACAAGTCCTTCATTACAGCTCTTTAATTCATTCAAGAACATCAATGAACCTACTCTAGGCCAGGCACTGTGCAAAGGGCTGGGGATGTGGCGGATGCTGGGGCAGAGTACCAACCCCAAGCAGGATACATCCACACAATTATAACGTGAGCCAAGGTATCCACATGTGCAATTCTCTTAATGGAGGGAGAGTCTGTACTATGTGTATCCTTAGGATTAGATGACCCCTTATTTCTGTCTCCCAACAGACTAGGGGCTGGGACCATGCTCAGCACATCCACTCACTGTCGGGAGCTTGGTGCTGCGGTACTTTTTCACTTGATGCTTGGGCTGTAGGCGAGGAAGCTGTCTCTGGGAGTGTCAGAAAGTTGAAGACAGAGTATTTGTCACGTTTCACTCTCGGTAAGCCAACTAAAGTTGAACTGGGGGTTGAAAGAAAAAATATGAATATAATTTTAACAACTGTGAGAATAAAATCTAATTCCTATAAAGCTCTCCATCGCATGTTTTTCATCAGTAGCTCTTTTACTTGGCTAAAAAGATCCCATGTTCTGGCTGGTGTGGCTCAGTGGATTGAGCACCAGCCTGTGTACCAAAGGGTCGCTAGTTCGATTCCCAATAAGGGCACATGCCTGGGTTGCAGGCCAGGTCCCCAGGAGGGGTCATGAGAGGCAACCACACATTGATGTTTCTCTCCCTTTCTTTCTCCCTCCTTTCCCCTCTCTCCAAAAATACAAAAATAAATTTTTCTTAAAAAGTTAACTATTTAAAAAATCCCCTAAGATGTTTTCACTTTTTGAAGCATTTTAAGAATTTATAATAGGTAACTTTAGTACCCATTAGTTTTTCCTGATTATAGTCAGCTAGGATTTAACTTTGAAGATGGACTTCTATTAAGGAAAAGTTCCACTGCTAAAAATACAGTTGACCCTAAACAGCACAGGTTTGAACTGCACAGATCCACTTATACACTGATTATTGTCAATAAATACCATAAATGTATTTTCCATATGATTTTCTTAACATTTTATTTTCTCTAGCTTACTTTATTATAAGACTACAATATGTAATACATATACCACACAAAATACTGTGTTGACTGTTTATGTTATCCATAAGGCTTCTGGTTAAGTAGTTAAGTTTGAGGGGACTCGAAAGTTATACATGGCCCTGGCCGGTGTGGCTCAGTTGGTTGGAGTGTAGTCCCATAAACCAAATGGTGGCAGGTCTGATTTCCGGTCAGGGCACATACCCCAGTTCCAGGTTCAATCCCCGGCTGGGGCGCGTACAAGGCAACCAATCGCTGTTTCTCTCTCTTTTTCTTTCTTTCTCTCCCTTCCTTTCTTTCTAAAGGCAATTTTTTAAAAATGTCCTTGGGTGAGGATGAAAATAAAAATAGTCATACATGGACTTTTGCCTGCACAGGGGGCAGAACCCCTAACCACTACATTTTTCAAGGGTCAACTGCATACCTAAATCTTCTGACAAAGACTCTGATTAAACTGTATATGCTTGCTTGTGGTGTTTACAATCAAATAAGAAGGTACTAAACTTTTATAAAGAATTAGAAAACATAAGTAACATTTTGAATGTAAACTGTGTATGGATCATTGAAAAGGTGGCAAATTAGACAAGCATTAAGTTTTATAGATCGACATACATATTTACGTTTCATATCTTCAATGTGGAGTAAGTTTGCTATTGGAACATTTGTTTATTTTTTAGTAACAAATTAACAGAAGTTAAATCTGCACAATTTGCAACTCAAGTATTTACAAGTTAAGTTCACCTACAAAAAGGGAATGTATACAGGTGCATAAGAAGAAAATTAGTGCCCTGGCTGGTGTGGCTCAGTGGATTGAGTGCCAGCCTGTGAACCAAAGGGTCACTGTTTCGATTCCCAGCTGGGGCACATGCCTGGGTTGCAGGCCAGGTGCCCAGTTGGGGTCATGCGAGACGCAACCACACATTAATGTTTCTTTCCCTCTCTTTCTCTCCTTCCCTTCCCTTCTCTCTACAAATAAATAAATCTTAAAAAAGAAGAAGGAAATTAGCTTTAATATGGGGAGTAAGTACTTATGGAAGGGCAGGTTTATCCAACTTACTCTGGATAAGGGTCAGGGACGTTAAACCTCTTACACAGAAGCTTGTCGGGGTGCCATTCAAATGTGTCTCGGGTGAGCTTCCCAAACATCTTCATCTTCACAGCCGACTGCTTGTCATTGACATCATTCTGGGAAAAGACATCCACTCTGTTTTATCAGGTGGTCACACAATTGACCTGACCGCTCTTCCACTTAAGTTTTCAAACAATCTTTCAAAATTACAAAACCTGCTTATGCTACATTTTTGCTAAAATACATTGGAAGCTAAAAGCATAAAAATAACTTCTGATTCTACAATGCCACGTATAGTTTGATCTTTTCACTGAGGGATTTAAGATATTTGACTATGCAGTGCTTTAATTTTAAAAGGCATCCGGTAGGGAGCAGATGGCGACAAACCTCTTGGTCCCGAGGAACTTCCACTTGATCTGAATCATCTTCCTCCTTCGCATGCGTGAACCTGGAGGACAAGGTGGAATGGGAGGGTGCATACAGCAGGGCTGCCCGAGCAAACTCCTCCCGTTCGCGGCCTCGCTCCCACTCTGTCATACTGGGGTCCAGACAGTGTTCCAGAGCATCTGCGGGGCACAGAACAAGAAACCGCTTCACTCTTCAAAAAAACACAGGACTTAAAGGAGAACATTGCTGGCACCACTGTGTCCCTATCGACTTCACTGGTAGACAAATCCTCATCCTGGTTTTTCAGAGCACAGTGGGGAGGTACTCAGCAGGTAATATTGCTTGCTCCCTCACAACGATGCTTCTTTTGAATTCCATGGCACATATCAGAGAAAAACATTTGGGAACAAATGCTTGATTAAATCTTCGAAACAAGAAAATTGTTACCACTCCCAGACAATGATAAGCTCATCCCAACTACATTCCTAAGTTTTGGCAGAAAAACACTCCTTTCTCTAACTTTTTTTTTAACTTAACAAATAAATAGGGGTCTGAATTCCTAGTAGGGAGTTCAAGTACACAAAGATCTGCTTTGGGAAACCAACCCCTCTAATTTGCTCCCTCTCACAAGGACTACGGAACAGAACAGCCAACCCTCTCCCCAGGCTTGCCATATTTATTTACTTCATGGATCACAGCACAATTTTTTCCCCATGTAATGGTTCAAGAGCGAACTCTCTAAGTCAAATTTTAAACTATGATTTAGGGCTGGACGGTTAGGACCTTAAGATAAAGTGGGATATGACCTTGTTCTCTCAGTGTGAAATGTATCACTTCCTAAGTCAAGCGTTTGTGAACAGTAAATGGCCTGTAATTTCGCATTAGCCACCACCACCACCACCACCGCCACCACGACATGTTCTCTAACAAAACAGCTATCTTTGGGACCTGAGATATAAAGAAACAAAAGCTAATTGTTCTCACTTTCTAAGGTCAAGGGCCAGGACTTGAAATCTTTGCACTGTTTACAGCAGGATGAAGCAAACAGAGGCGGAGCCGGGTACTTCAACTCAAACCTGGGACTAGGGTCAGAACAGCAAGAACCCTGCCCCTGGCTGAGACATGGGAGACCCAGGCCTAGCACTCACCTTTCTGACCCCGCTTCATATTTGCTAAAAACTTTTCATATCGTTTTTGTTTTTCTGGATCTTTGGCAAAAGGCTTGAAGTTGCTGGCTTTTGTGGTGGCTGTCCCACCACTCAATGCCAGGTGCCAAGAGCAGTGTCCGACTTCAGGAGAAGAGGGCTGAGCTCTGCTGCCTGAGGCGCTCAGGGCCAGGCTCCTGGCCTTGAGTTGAGCCGCTTGAAGGTCAGTTGCCTGCTTCATTTCCTTGATTCTCTCTTTATCTTTTTGGGACAGAAATTCTAACACTGAAGTAGCTGCACCTAAATAAAAACAATAATAGGACAGATGAAAAGGATCATAAGACCAATACATTTACATTTCTGTTCATACATTTTCAGTATCACAAATTTATGTAATTGCAGTATTTCACATTTAGTGTTTTATCTGTATTCATTTTATCCCTGTAAACTGGGCAGTAATAAAATAATGAGGCTCCAATTTTACAGTTGGTTAAAATGGAGGTTGGTACTTGGATATTTATTAGGCCAGCGAGTGTCCCAGCATGAGGAAGCTGACATCCCAACCTGCGGTCTGTGGCGGCCACCCTGCCCACCATCCTGCCCAGCACAGGGCCCGGTCCGGGGCACAGCTGCCATCACGCACGCACTCCCGTCTCAGACGCTCACTCGGCACTCCCTGCCTCCTAGACGCTGGCCTGGGGCCGGGAGGACAATGCCGACAAGGACCTGCTCTCACTCATGAGGGAGAAGCCAAAAATCAACACCAGAGGATTATTCTAAGAGGAGGACTGTGGGAAAAAACCCGAGTGATATGATTGAGGATGAGTTCAGTGAGAAGGCTGGCGGTGGGGGTGGAGAGAGAGAGAGAGAACTAGCTTACGGGCTGGGCCAGGGAGGCCTGAAGGTCCCTCTGAAGACAATATTTGAGATAGCTTATAAGAAAAAAGAAGGAGCCGAAACGTAAGGGAAGTACAGAAGCAAAGGAAACAGCAAACACAAAGGCTCTGAGGAAGCATCTTGGTTGGCAGGTTCACAGGGCAAGAAGAAGGATCATGAGGTTAGACCGCAGCAGGTTAAGGGAAAGTGGTCTAAGATGTGGCTTGAAAGGCAGCAGGGCTGGGTCCACAGAGCCTTGTGGGGAGTCTGGATTTCTCTTAAGAAGTACTGGAGCCTTTATAATTTGGTTTACCTAGCTGCTATTGAGGGGAATGGACTGCAGAGGACAAAGGAGACCCATCATGAGGCTACTGCAATAGTCCACGTGAGAGTAGATGGGCATTCAGACCACAGGGGAAGCAGCGTACACACAGAGAGGTAGATGGAGACCCTGAGCCTACTAGAGGTAGAAATGAGAGGGCTTGCCGATAACTAGGTAGGGTCTGGGGAGGGAGGGAAAGAGGAGCTAAAACTTAGGATTCCTTCCTTCTGATCTGAGCAGTCGGTCACTGGTGGTATCATTTACTGAGAAAGGGAAGACTGAGGAAAACCCAGTTTGCAGAAGAAAGTGTGAACCAAGAGTTCTGCTTGGGTCTATTATATCTGAGGTAACTGTTAGGATCCCAAACAGCAAGTACAAGTTCATCTCTTCTAGTGGTTCTTTCTGCTCCAACCTACAAGATATTCTCCACATCTGTCCATACTTTCACAAGCACTCATTCTTTTTAGACTTTCAGGAAAAGCGCTGCAATACTCTTTCCCCTAAGAAAATCCTACGTTCTCAGGCTGTGCAGAGAAAGTGAGGGTACTCATGACCCTGGTCTTCACCATATTCCTGAACAATTATTAAAATCTGAAAACGGCTGATCTTAAGACAAGGGTTGTAATTTCAACAGCACAACTCAACTGATGGTGGGAAACAAGTCTTAAGAAGTAAAGGATGTACACTTATGTGTGCCATTCACAATAAACAATTTTATTCCCACAGTTTGGGGATGCAAAATCATGGAAAAAATTTCAATGGGAAAACATCTTTCCATTTGATTTTGTTCACTCAAATTATTATAAATTTAATGATTTTAATCTTCGCCATGATACATACCTTTAATGGGTGTTTCTCCTAGCAATTCTCCCCGCTTGGAGGCATTCAGCTGGTGCCTACTATGTGTCCCTGGGTCATGTATTGCCTTTCCAGCTGACTCTGATAATACTTGAAGTAAGTGGGAGTTGTCTGAGGTTGCAGCTACCACAGGTCTGAAATAATGCACTGGTCGATAGTCCCTTGGCAATTCAGGTGGTGGATAAATCTTATGAAAAAAAAATAAAACTCCGAAAATAAGTGCTACAAGATGATCATGTTTGATTTAACAAAGAAAACCTGTTACCTCTGAGCATTATCAACCCCAGCCTTTCCCCGGCTAACATTCAGCAGGAAGGTAGGCAGCACTGGGAACAGACTGTCCAGGTGCCCCACCCACATCCACTCTGGATCTGGAGGGTCACCAGATCCACACTATTCTAATAACCAGACATTTTTCATATCACCCCTGCCCACATCTACACAGAGATGCTAATATGCATGTTTTATAAGAACAAGAACGATGACATTAGCTAACACGAGGTACAGGCCCACGTGCAGAACTAGCCCACTGTAAATCAGAAATTTTAGAAAAGTACAGTTCAAGGTGTAGAAAAAAAGAATGTTTTTAAGTAAGTTACTTTTAAATTCAATATTTTTTCTGGCTATGTTTCAGTTCCAAATTGGAACTTCAGGCCTCATTTTTTTTATGAGGTATTTTTAAAAGCTGACTGAACTGAAATTGAATATAATATTCGGGAAATTTGGACACTAATAATGGCAGAACAAATAAGTTAAAAGAGAGTATTAGATAGTTTTAAATGACTGCGCTAAATGGTCTCTCTTGCACTAGGTCTAACAAACGTTAAGTTGTTTTCTAGATTTTCCAGCTGCCTGAAACTCTGAGCTCTGCGGCCACTGAAGCACTGAATGCGCTCTGGCAGCAGTTCTTGGCCCCAGCTGCACACTGGGCTCACCTGAGGCTTTTAAGAGTAATGATGTCTACGTCCCGCCCCACAGAGTTGGCAACAACTGGAGTTTCCCAAGCTTCCCAGTTTGTAAGGTTCCCAGGTGGTTCCCAGGGACATGGGTGGGGGCAGCACCTGGCACGCTGAAAATCCATAAAAGAGTGGTATTACCACTGTTAGGAAATCACATTTTTTATTGTCTTAGCCTGACCACCTTCTCTGAAAAACAGAATCCCGATCAGCCAGCAAACACTCTCATGATACCAAGACACAAAAATCCAGAGGATCATGACAGAAAAGGGTTGCATACACAAAAATATTTTCATATTCTCCATCAGATTCAAAGCATTTCAGAGGTGAGGGTCATAGCCACATACTTAGAAAACTTGCCTGACTGTGAAAAACTAGAACACAGCCCTCTTCTGAATCGCTCATGCCCAAAGCTCTACTCCAGTGAGGCGCCCCTCAGGAACCCCTAGTGCCTGTCGGTCCACTTCCACACACTGTCCTATACTGTATTTGTCTGTCTGACACCCTCAGTGAATAGGAGCTACCGGGGGGGGTCAGGACTTTGTCTTATTTATCCTTGAACCCTGAGTCGAATGAGGACAACCATTTTTTATGCTCCCCTTGCATAAATGTAAAAAACTCTCATTCTCCTTTGACATAGTTGACATTGCTGATAATAATAGCAGTTTACTAAGCACCCAACACTGCTTTGAATATATTATGCCCACTATAACACCACGTTAGGTGTCACCACCAAACCAATGATAGCCACTGCAATACCAAATGTAGTACCTCTGGCAGTGCTGCTCCTGGCTGCCCTGCTCTCGAGGGTCACAGGCCAAGCCAGAGGGGCTCAATGAGTGTTTGCTGAATAAAAAACCAAAAGCCCATTACAGTGTGGGGCAACCTAAAAAAAGGATGCCAACAGGGCAAATGGCCAAGCGCCCCTCCTGAGCTATCAGCACCCACAACTAAACTGGGATGGTCTCCTAGAACAGGTGACTCTGAGGGGTGTTAAAGAGCACCACTTGGCCCAAGCTGTAACAAAATCTCATCAAAACAGGACTATCTGAAAAGCGCATGGAGCTCTCCCGAGACTTGACCTGCACGTACGCGGCTTCTCTCCCTTCTGCTCACCCAGGGAACCTCGCCCACAGTGGTGAACATGCCTCACAGCATTGAGGAGTCAGGGCTGTGAGTCATTACAGCTTTTTGAAAGTTTTCTATTTTTCCGTAAGTTACATTGTCCCGAGGATTTCACCAATTCCATTCTCCCACCCATCTAATACAAATTTTTTTAAATGGAAATAACCACTCGAAGTTTAGATTTAAAAGGTAAGCCATCAGCTATCTTGAACACAATGTGGCTACTGACCGACATTTCTAATAACGGAATACATTTTCCTTAACAATCACTAGAACAAGGGTGGTTTTGTGGAAACAGAATTTCCTTATTATTCCAGTTGTTAATATAATCACTCAGATTACATAGCAAATATTTTTAGTACTAAACCAGTAAAAAAAAAAAAAAAAAAAAAAAGTCTTACTTTCTTAGAAGATAAAGGTTTAGAAGCCAAGGTAAATCCATCCAATATTTTGCCAATGTATCGAAGATCTTTTTCTGATTCTACAAAATGATGTCATTGATTAATTTCATAAGCTTAGATAAGAATAAAACAAAAGACATCAGTTTTTTATCTCTAAGAATATAAATACTACATGTCACACATGATATCACACAGAGATAGCAATAAAAAAGGAAATAGCTCAGTTGACGCTGGCAGCTGGGCCCACACCATCCACAGCTGATCAGGCTGTCCCGGACCCAAGGCTATGGCCCTCCAAGAGAGAAAAAGCGCGTGAGGGCCTGAGATAAGGGGCACCAAAAATATAATCTGTGGAGTAAAAGATCTCAAGAAAAACCTTTTAAAAGTTAAAAAACTTTTAAAAGTAAAAATCATTCTGTGAAACTAGGTAGGGAACCTTGGGGAGACTACCTCCCAATTTCCTTAGCCACCATCCAAATAAGGTACAAGAGGCAATACAACCAGGTCAGCCAGTAATCTAATCCTACTACAAATTAAAAGGTACTTTTGTCTTTCTCAAATGAAATTCTAACAAGAGATAAAGATCACTAATTCAGGACACAAAATGACCAACGCCCTCTGAGTTGAAGCCAGGGTCCACTGGTTACAGAGATAACCCCATCGACAAAGCCTCTTTTGATCATCAAGTATTTCTTGTGCACAATGATTCTGTCAAAACTCCATATGCACAAACTGCATTTTCTGTAGTCAAAAGCCACCTCCCCATAACCACCAATGAGCACTGACACAAGCTGATGTTTAGTCCTCAAGCCAGCCCAGCTGCTCACAGTGCAGGTGGGACTGAAGCCTTCTGCCACACAGACTGCTGCACAACAGGTAACTACCCTTGCCCACAAAATCACTTCGTACTTTAACTCCTGTTGAACTTTTGTACCAGCTTCTGGAAGTTCCTAAGATTCTGTATCGTGATTTGGGATTAAATTTCACATTCTTGCTATTTTGTATTCTTTTAAAACCCAGAAATTTTACTTTTATGAATATTCTGAAGAAATATCCAGCAAATGTACATAAAGAGCCATAAGGATATTTATTATAGCCCTATGGATCAAAGAAAAAATAAGAACAATGGAAAAATGAACCATTAAGACCAGCTAACTATAGATTCACTCAGTGAAAAACCATAAGGTCAAAGCTATGATGTTGTGGCCCTAGTGGTGGGGGAGAAGAGGCGGCTGTTGGAGAGGGGACAACAGCGGAGAGCGAGTAAGGGGGGGGCTGGGAGCTCAGGGACAGACACTTGCTCAGGCTTGGTGTGGAAAGGGGTGGGGATCAGTCAGGCAAAACTGTTACATAAAGGAAAAACCAAAGATTTGGCTTGGAGGGCAGATTTAAGTATGTGTACTTATTAGCAAATAACATTTTGCTAAAAATAGCATTGTGTTGATATATTGATATAATATAATTAAAAATAAGCATAATAATTAGCATATTTCATGTAATCTATATTATCATAACATTAATATACAAGTATATTATATAACTTCTTTTAAGTTGTAAAAATGACACATAGTCTGAGTAGCAATTTTTGAAAATATAAAGGTAAGGAAAGGGAGATAATAAAAGTAGGCTTATTATCACCCAGAAGTAACACCAACTAATACTCAGGCGCATACCCTTCCAGCATGTTGTGTAAAGCCCTTGGTTCTTTTTGTGATGATGGTGAGAGGCCGCTCACACCTACAGAGTGCTTGCTGTGTGCCAGGCAAGCTCTAAGCCCTCTATGTACACAGAAACCTCTGTGCGATAGGTGTGCCATTGCCATGCCCATTGTCCAGACAAGGATGCCAAGGCACAGAGAGGTGAGGAGCTTGTCCAAGGTCACAGCTGATGAATGGAACCCAGGCAATCTCTCTTCAGAGTTTGCATTCACAACCATCAAGCAAACTACCCCTTAAAAATGCCCACCCTGTTTTGCAACTGCCTTTTCTGTTCTAGAAATGTGAAATAGACATTATTTTGGGTAGTGGTGCTTAGATTATTTTAACATGTAGGATTTAGATGTATTCTATAAGACTTATATCCAATTTTATCTGACTATGGCTAAAAATGTTTGAAAAGATTGTTTTAAGCTCAGCTCTTGCCTCCTTACTTTATTTAGGTGGTTGTTACTATTGTAACCAAAGAAGAGTAGGTGCCACTTTTCAGTCTTTGAGGCAGGTGCCAAACACAGAGTTATGCCATTTAATCTTCCCAATAACCCCCAGACCACTCTTAATAAATGCTCACTTTATAAATGATGCCAAGAGAGATTACTAGCCTTGCCCAAGGCCACACAGCTGAGCAGAAAAAAGCAACCATCCAAATCCAGGTCTGATGGATTCCACATTACATGCTACTAATACCTATTTCAGTCTCCTCCCTGGATTGAAAAACTGAAATACTATCTAGTTTCTGAATCACTATAGATTCTGACTTGAAATTCAGCTTGTGTTGAGAGATATCCATCTCTTAGCCCAATAAGATCCCCCCTAAGAGCAAGGAGTCCCAACAGAAGATAGACTGGCTCCATCTTGCTACCGCTCTCAGTATTCCTATCACCTAAGCACCATACCTGGCCTTCGGACCTACTGCTTGAGTTGGCCTGCTATGACCACCTCCCTACTCCTCAAGCTGGGAGTGCTTCCCTCTGACCCAGTGCCAGCTCTGACCTGCAACCTGAGCACCTGTCCACACATTTGCTCCTTCTCTGATTCCAGACCTCTTCTTCCTCCTCTCCTTGGCCCTGTCTTGATAACTGGCTTTGGCTTTGACGATTCCAAATCCCACATCTATGTTACTTCCCACATTGGGCCTCTCTTCTTCCTACTTTGTTTCTCACTCCGCATGTTTGACCAACAACCCCCTACCCTGCTGAGGCTGCCTCTGCAGTATCAATATTGCAATCCCTTCTTCCTGATAACCTGACACTTGTCCTTCATCAGCTGCAGGTCTCTAGAATCACCTTTCTTTCTTTTTTTTTTTTTTAAGATTTCATTTATTTATTTTTAGAAAGATGAAAGGAGGGAGAAGAGAGAAACATCAATGTGTGACTACCTCTTGTGCACCTGGCCCACAAACCAGGCATATGCCCTAGACTGGGAATAGAACCTACGACCCTTTGATTCACAGTCCAGCACTCAATCCACTGAGCCACACCAGCCAGAGTGGAATCACCTTTCTGACTTTGATATTGCTTGGGTGCTGTCCATCCGTACAGTCCATCTCCAGGCTCCTCGTCCTTCAAAATGGTATCATACTTGGAGAGAGTTTCTGTGGCATAGATATCATCATCTTCCTCTTCCAGGGCACCAACACCAAAAGCCTTCAAAAACAAGGTTTCAAACAGCAATTACAGGTTTTAGGGTATGTCTGCATTGAGGGATAAAGCTACTTTAAGGATGTAATTGAACAGGCTACATTGGCACTGTAAGATCACCAAGAGAGAAAGATGAGAGACCCAGATCACCATACTGATGCAAGTCCTTTGGATTACAATGACCAGAAGAGAAGGGCATGTCCCATAGCAGCTATAGGTCTGGGTTCTAGTGCAGGCAGAGGACTAAAGAACACACGCAAGCAGCAGTGCAGGAGGGGAAATGGGGCCTCCAAAAGAAGAAAGGAAGAGTGTTCATCTACTGTTCAATATGGCCTGGGGACAGAGCTAGTGACCAGGGTTTGAAGACCACCACTACTCTTCCAGCTCCTGTAAGAACTCCTAATCCTTGTAGGAAATGATCTCCAAAAAGTATCCCTTTTTGTTTAAAAAATTTAAAAAAGCAATAATGACATTTTCTAAATATAACTTAGAAAGAAAAGGTAATAATGACATTTTCTAAATACAATTTAGGAAAGAACCTCTGATTCAATTTGAGAGGGCAGGCAATGAGGGAAAGCTCTCCACCTCCTCAAAGACACAAAGCAAGTCTCCCAAGGGAAACTTGCACCTACACTCCCAAGAACTTAGGGCTAGCAACACTAGAAATCAGTCTGAGAGGTAGTCAAACTTGGACCTGAAGTTGGAGAGGCAGATTGAAATTCAACTTTTTTTTTTTTAAGATTACATTTATTAAATCTGGGGACAGTGAAACAAAGAAGGACTTAGGACAGAAGAAGCAACAGGAGAGCCGAGGCGGGGCTGCTCTGGCTCACTGGGAAGTCAGGGTAAAGGGGCTGTGCAGACAGTTTCAGGCGGTTGGCCCAGGACAAGCTGCTGCTGCCCACTGCTCCCCTGGTTGCGAGTCTTGTGGAGACCCTTAGAGTTCAGGAGAGGTGTGCCTGAGAGGGACGAAAGGTATAGGCATTCTCAAGGGAAGGAGAGTATTGAAATACAACTACTAACTAAAAGAAAGGGGTAAGTGTGGTTTTCTGTGCAGCCCCACAAAGGTGCGAAAGACCAGTCCCCACTCCTAAGAACACAGAAACTCCACCAAGAACATAGGTCACAGGATCTGAGGAGTACATATTTTAAAATAAGGAAGGTGTACTTTACATGTCTTCAGAAAAGATCCTTAGGAAAATACAACCACTTCAAAGTCTTCGTGTAGTTGATCAATAAGTGCCTACTATGGGGCAAATATAAGGAAAGTATTCTCTCTTGTAAATGGTTCCATGTTTATAAAACAGAAACACTTTTACCTGGCCTGAAATTCCCAATTTTCTTCCTTTATTCACTCCAATATCTCCAAGAAGATTGCTGGTTCCCTCAAGTCTTCCACTGAAAAGATTAAAATGTTCTCCCGAAGTTCCAAACAAGGCTTGGTGGGGATCCAGGCCCTTGTAAGCCAGTCCATGCACATTATCTTTAGGTGTGAAATCCACAGGCATGACATCTTTGGGTGCAAAGGTCACATTTTCTGGCAGGTAGTCATCATCTTCATCCTATTTAAAAAGGGGAATGATGGTGAGTCACTGCGTAGTGCAAAGTAAGCCTATAAAATACTATTTTCAAATGCAGTGATTAATTCCAAACAGAACAATTATCAAACTTTCATTTCTACCATTATAAATCACTAAATCAAGTCCCTGAACAAATAATAATAAAAATAATTCCATTTTAAGAATCTAAACAGCCAGAACATCTATGGTGCTGGCATATTGCCAAATATAGTATCTAATATAAAAATAGTTTTAGGATATGGGTATTTCACTGTCATGGGGTATGATTAATTTTAAAAATTGTTTCCAATCATAAAATTTCGCATTCATAAAGTTACAAATGCTACTGTACACCCTGAAGATCAGTCACCCCACACAGTACCTCAGATCCTTCAGAGCCGCCAGGAGGTAATGCACAGCCATAGATTTTTACTCCAGGATCTATAAAAGATTTCAAATGCATCAGTCATGAGCAACTGAAAATACAGAAACTAGACTTGTTGACACTCTTCAGAGGTATATGGCTGTGCTTGTAAAAGCTGCTACAGCTTTAGGGCGGGAGACTGATCACTCAGGAATTGTTTTCCACCAGCACCTGCCCCACCTACACTCTATCAACAATGTGCGAAATGAGTAACCACTACTGTTCCAACACCAGGAAGAACCCAAAATATTAATGCTGCCTCCAAGAGTTCACAGTCTGGCTGGGGAGACCAAGGACAAGAAATAAATAGAAAATAATCATGTTAGTCCTGGCTGGTATGGCTCAGCGGACTGAGTACCGGCCTATAAACCAGAAGGTTGTTGGTTCGATTCCCAGTCAGGGCACATGCCTGGGTTGGAGGCTGGGTCCCTAGTTGGAGGCATGTGAGAGACAGCTGATAGGTGTATCTCTGGCACACTGATGTTTCTCTCCCTCTCTCTCTCCCTTCCCCTCTCTCTAAAAATAAAAAAATAAACCTTAAAAAAAAAATCGTGTTAAATTGTGGGAGAAGTAGGAAACAGTTTCATATGCTCCTCATGGGAATGTAGCCTAGTACAATTATTCCAGAAAGCTATTTCACATTATGCTTAAACTACACACACACTACCCAGCAATTTTATTCCTAGAAACATGTAGCCATTAAAAAGTGTTAGGGTTAGGGTTAGCATTAATGACAATCAACATACATACCAGGTTTTTGTCGGCATGGTCTTCTCTTTACTCGAGGACCAATTCCTTGTCCTTCCTTCCACCCCATTTTTCTTAGCAATTCAAAACCGACAGATAATCTAGGATATCAAGGCATTGAAAAGAAACGTGTTTTTATAACCCTACAGAACAGTAGGAAGCAAGCAGCCTTTGAGTCCCAGCCCGGCTCATATACTTGTCATGCCTGAGCCCTTTCCCTCAGCCATGTAAGAACTGCAGGGCCCCCTGCTCTTCTGGACATGCACTGCATGACGGAGCTGGGGAAGTTGTCGGATATCTTTTCTCCTGGGGCTTTGGAATGGGCACATAGGGACTCTAGATGGTCCCTGTCAAGCATGTGGTCCGGGAAACCATGACAGTCTAAGGCTGTGATATCAGGCCACATGTCCAAGACCAGACCAAGGAGGTATGCAGAACGAGAGAGTAGAATGAGGCTGAGCTCTAGAGCACGCCGTGCAATAACGGTGCAAGACCCTTTTGGCAAAACCCCTCTTTGCACTCAAGATACACTAAGAAGTCTTGACCTACTTGCAACCGAGCTTTCTCTGAGTAAGACTGTCATACATATGCAAAGTAGTGATTTCAAGATCAGAAATTCAGAATTAAATTCTTCTCACTTTGCTGGTGTTATGAGATCATCAAGCAGAGTGGCTCCAGGAATAGGGGCAGTAGCAGCTGCTAACTGCCTGGCCTTTTCTCGTATTCTGTCTTTGGTTTTGGAAGCAAAATCGTCCGTGGTAACAATCGCTTTAGGTGCTATACCAAATTCACTAAGATCCTTTAAAAAAAAAAAAGAAAGAATCATTTACATGATTTGTAAAGTCATTAAACATGATACATCATGCAACTTTAATTTTAAAAAACAAAGTTAAAACTACAATATTGGGTTTGGGATCAGAAGACCGGCTGACTTTACACACTGATTTTGGAACCCTTGCATTAAGTTAATAAGGCTGACGCCAAGGACGGAAGCATTACCGTGGCTATTCGGTGGAGCCACGGTGCACTATCAAGCTAGGATAATAGGACCTATTCTTCTCAGGCAATATTTTCAAAGGTCAGTGTAAAGCGGGCAAATCTTAGAGTCACAACCGAAGAGCACTTGTGAGCACCTCTGTATCAGGCTCTGAGTTAAGTGCTTTTGCATTCGCTGTGGGCTGCCTGTCTAACAGTCATTGCCCCTCCTCTTTTCCTCACAGAGTCCTGCGATTGCCCTGCACCTGCCTTCCTCTGTGCCCCCGTGCACCGAAGGAGTGGGTGGCATCCCTGCTATGTGGGCTGGGGCCGGGGAAGGTGAGGGAATAGGGGTTTATGTCTTATCTAAGCCAGTCATTTCATCCCATTTCCCTTGCTTTAAGAATGAACATGTAGCCCTGGCTGGTGCAGCTCAGTGGATTGGGTGCCAACCTGCGAATCAAAAGGTCACCGGTTCAATTTCTGATCAGGGTACCTGCCTGGGTTGTGGGCGTGCGAGAAGCAACTCATCGATGTACCCCTCACACATCGATGTTTCTCTCCTTCATCTTGGAGGGGCCACTCGTTACATGAGATATGTTTCCTTATGGATTATGCTAGTCATATAGGAAGGGGATCTCCCCTTGCCTCTTACCTGCAGCCTAAAGCATGCTGATTTAACGATGTTATTTCATCTTTATCAAAAATGGATCCATGACTAAGTTTTAAGTTAAGAGGAGTTTAATTTTCAAACAAAATGGCAGGACTACTTTAGAATCCACTGGTCCCCATTTACCCCTAAGATGTTTTCCATCATTGTTGCTTTAACAATGTGCTCAGATGCCTGTACATGACTTCCTTTCACTCCGTTTTCAAGTCACTCACTGTCCCTTAAAGGGCAGTGCACATGAATTACTTTGAAAGGCTGCAGACTCGGCTTGATGAATACTTTGCTTTTGAGGCAACTGGGGCTTTTTCAAGTACATTTGCCTGTACAGGCATACCTTGTTTTATTGCGCTTTACTGTCTTTTGCAGATACTTCATTTTTTACAAGTTGAAGTTTTGGGGCAACCCTGCATTGAGCAAGTCTATGAGTGCCATTTTTCCAACAGCTTCAGATAATGGTTAACATTTTTTTTAAAGACTTTTATTTGTTTACTTTTAGAGAGTGGGGAAGGGAGGGGGAAAGAGAAGGAGAGAAACATCATTGTGGGAGAGATTTGGTTGCCTCTCGCATGTCCCCAACTAGGGACCTGACCCGCAACCCAGGCATGTGCCCTGACTGGGAATTGAATTAGTAACCTCTCAGTTTGCAGGCTCGCGCTCAGTCCACTGAGCCACACCAACCATGGCAAATGGTTAACATTTTTTAGCAATAAAGTATTTTTTAAATAAATAATGCTATTGCATACTTAATAGACTATACTAGAGTATAAACATAACTTTTGTAAGCACTGGGAAACCAAAATATCATATGATGTGCTTTATTCCCATATTCATTTTATTGCAGTGATCTGGAACCAAACCCACAAACCCACAGTAACATCTCCAAGATATGCCTGTACCTGACTTTCCCCTACACTCTTGACTTCAGAAACTACCCCCAGCATAAGACACTACTCTGATGAATGAGCATCCATTGATGTACAGGGTTCTATAGTCCAAATGCTTAAAAGATAAAGCCTTACATACAAAGAGGAAATCATACATTAAACTTTCTGGGGAAGGACAAGGTGCTACAACAACCAACTGCAAGCTAACTGGCAGTTAAAGTTCAGCACACCCACCTCTTCATCCATAAAATCTTCAGGGCCAAGAACAGATTTGTCAGCTCTGTTCTGTCGTGACGACACAAAGGAAGAGGGTGTCCATCCTTGAAAGAAAAGAGTTTAGAACATTACAATCCTAGGTAGCATTTTGGTTTATAACTAAATAATTAAATAACATGTATGGGCTTGAAAGCCCCAATAACTACAAGCTCCTGGCGACTTTCCATCTCACTGCTCATATACATGTAATGATTCCACATAAACTTCTTACCAATCTCCGTATCCATCCCTTGTTGTCAGAACTTAGTGGATACAGTGGGGCTTCCCCATAAAAATCTAGAACCAAGTGAAATCAAATTATACATCGAAAGTTAACCTGTTGAAAGGAGCACAAGTGGATCTGAGCAGAAGGATGCAAGGTCATCTGAAAAGGCAGGACCACTCTTAGGCCAGGAGAAGAGCAACCTACACTACCAAATTGACGTATCAAAGAAATAATATGTCTGGTGAACACACAATACAAGGTACAGATGATGAATTATATAATTGTATACCTGAAACCTACATAATTTTGTAAACCAATGTTACCCCATTAGGTTCAATAAAAAATTTAAAATTTAAAAAAAAAAAGAAAAGAAACAATAGTTTAGCTGGGTAGCTTAGTTTGTTGGAGCATCATCCCATCCACCAAAAGACTGTGGGTTCAATCCCCAGTCAGGGCACACACCTAGGTTGTGGGTTAGATCCCCAGTCGGGACATGCATGGGAAGCAACCAATAAATGTTTATTTCTCACATCGCTGTTTCTCTCGCTCCCTTCCACTCTTTCTAAAATCAATGAAAACAAATCCTCAGGTGGTGATAATTAAATAAATAAATAATTTTGAAAAGAAAGAAAGACTATGTCGAGGTGCATTAGTCAGCCAAGAAAGGATGGCTAAAGAGAGGTACAGAAGCAAATCAAGCCACATTCAGGTTGCCTTGGCCTACGGACTCAACCTGGCTGGTCTAAGGGCGGGCAGTGGCCACGCCAGCACCCCAACTCCATCAAAAACCTGAGTCCTATAACTAACACCCTTGTTGTCCATCCATAGTCACCAAGCATGTGCCGTGCCTCGAGAGAATGCTCTGGTGGTCAAATGTATCTGTAAACCCTCTGCAGATAAACTTCTTTAGATTTCTCTCAGAATGAGACACCCACTTTCTGATATCCTACAAGAGTCTCATGGAGGAGTACAGGGCAGATTTACTCTTGGCAGATGGGTGAAGCAGGTTTCTGGGCCAACCTGGGAGGCTGATTTCCCAGGAGAGTGAGGATCTGCCCTTTTGGGCAATACCTTGGGCCCGGCACCTTCCTTCACTTTGGATTTCTACAGCCTTTGCCCTATTCCTGCATAGTCCTTGAATCTGTCACTCCTAATGGTAAAGATATATTCCAGTCTATTAACATAGAACAGTCTACCTGACTAATCATTTGAGCTGGTCTTATTTTTTAATTATAACATACAGCACAGCCATAATTATAATAATCAGCAATGTATTAGTGAGCTTCCTTCTTCACAAACCCTACTGCCATCTTAAACATTTTAATAAGTGTGCTATTTTAATAGTGCCTTAGTTATCTTAATTTGCTTATGTTAATAATAAGGTTAAATATTCCATATATTATTTCTATCTTGTCTGGAGTAAACTGTTCAAATATTTTGTCCATTGAACTGATCTTATCTTTTTTAATTGAATTTTTAGAGAAAGGGAGGAATAGTGGTAAGGGAAGAGACAGATAGACACACAGAAACATCAATTTGTTGTTCCACTTATTCATGCATTCATTGGATTTTTTTTTTTTTAAAGAGGAAGGGAAAGAAACATGACTTGTTGTTCCACTTATTTATGTATTCATTGATTGATTCTTGTATGTGCCCCAACTGGGGATCGAACTAGCGACCTTAGTGTATTGGGACGAAGCTTTAACCAACTGAGCTACCCGGCCAGGTCATTGAACTGACCTTTTTTTTTTTTTTAAAGACTTTATTTATTTATTTTTAGAGAAAGAAGAAGGGACGGAGAAAGAGAGGGAGAGAAACATCAATGTGAGAAACATCGACAGGTTGCTTCCTGTACCCATACCAACCAGGGACTGAACCTGCAACCCAACTATGTGCCCTGACCAGAAATCGAACCTACGGCCCCTCTTCTTGTGTGTCGATGCTCAACCAACTGAGCCACACCAGTCAGGGCCTGAACTGATCTCTACACATTCTGGATGAAATTTAACTATCCTATTTACCCCAACTATTTTCTCTTTCTTACATTATTTTTCATTTTTATTTTACCATTGTTGTGTACAAGTTATTTTATTTATTTTCCAATTGCAATTGACATACAATATTATATTAGTTTCAGGTGTACAGCATAATGGTTAGACATTTATGAAATGATCCCCTGATAAGTCCGGGACCCATCAGACACCATACCTAGTTATTACAGTATTACTGACTATATTACAAGTTATTTTTTTAAATATATATATAAAAACTCTGTCCTATCTTGTTCTTAATAATTCATACATGAGTTAATCAGTTCATCTTCCATTCATATCTGAGATATTTAAGCCATTTTTCCTCCAGTTGCTATGTTAAAACTTTAAAAAACATATATTACTTGAATCAATGCAGAACATATTATATTGCATGATGTGAAAAATTTAACGGATTTTAAATTAAATTTAAATTAAATTTTAAATTAATTTAAATTTAAAGGGTCAGTTGAGAGCACATACTGACAAGGGAAGGCTTGGTCCCATGTCAGGAGAGAGAGCAGCTCTGATCTCTCAGTGGCTCCATCTACAAAACAGCTGTGATACCAGTTCTCCTTAGTTACTGAGTCACGTGAGACAATATTACCTGAGTGAATCTCTGTGAGTGTATTTTGAGCATGGCAAGATGTAATATCAAATGGAAGTCATTATCATCATTTAATCATTCAATTATAGGATTTATTTATTTATTTATATTTCGACCAAGATCTGACTTTCTGAGCCAAGTAAAAGGAGAATTTATTTTGGATTTCTGTGTCTCATTTTCTGAGACCCTCCACTAGCAAGCCTCAGCTCTCTAAATTTATTTATTTTTTATTTTTTTAATATATATTTTATTGATTATGCTATTACAGTTGTCCCATTTTTTCCCTCACCTTTATTTCCTTCCACCCTGCACCCCCCCCTCCCCCTCTTAGTTCATGTCCATGGGTCGTACATATAAGTTCTTTGGCTTCTCCATTTCCTATATTGTTCTTAACCTCCTTCTGCCTATTTTTTACCTACTATTTATGCTGCTTACTCCCTGTACTGTTTTCCCTATTCTTCCCCCATTCCATCTCCATTTCCATGATTCTGTTCCTGTTCTAGTTGTTTGCTTTGTTTTTGTTTTCATTTTTGTTTTTTTAGGTTCAGTTGTTGATAGTTGTGCCTTTGTTGTCATTTTACTGTTCATAGTTTTTGATCTTCTTCTTTTTCTTAGATAAGCTCCTTTAAGTTTTCACATAATGAGGGCTTGGTAATGATGAACTCCTTTAACTTTACATTGTCTGGGAAGTACTTTATCTTCCCTTCCATCGTGGATAGAGTAATCTTGGATGTAGGTCTTTCTCTTTCATGACCTGAGTACTTCTTTCCAGCCCGTTCTTGCCTGCAAGGTTTCTTTTGAGAAATCAGCTGATGGTCTTATGAGAACTCCTTTGTAGGTAACTGTCTCCTTTCTTCTTGCTGCTTTGAAGATTCTCTCCTTATCTCTAATCTTGGGTAATGTAATTATGATGTGCCTTGGTGTGTGCTTCCTTGGGTACAACTTCTTTGGGACTCTCTGAGCTTCCTGGATCTCCAGGAAGTCTATTTCCTTTGCCAGATTGGGGAAGCTCTCCATTATTTTTTCAAATAAGTTTTCAATTTCTTGCTCTCCCTCCTCTCCTTCTTGATTCCTATAGTTCGGATGTTGTAATGTTTAAAGTTGTCCCAGAGGTTCCTAAACCTCTCCTCATTGTTTGGAATTCTTGTTTCTTCATTCTGTTCTGGTTGAATGTTTATCTCTTCCTTCTGCTCCAAATCATTGATTTGAGTCCCTGTTTCCTTCCCTTTACTGTTGGTTCCCTGTATATTTAACTTTATTTCACTTTGTGTAGCCTTCACTTTTTCCTCCATTTTGTGACCATACTCAACCAATTCTGTGAGCATCCAGATTACCAGTGTTTTGAACTGTGCATCTGATAGGTTGGCTATCTGCTCATCACTTAGTTCTATTTTTGGAGCTTTGATCTTTTCTTTCATTTGGGCCATGTTTCTTTGTCTCATTGCACCTGTTTGTTAGAAGGGATGGAGCCTTAGGTATTCACCAGGGCGGGGCAACCCAGGTCGTCGAGTTGTGATGCTGTGTGTGGGGAAGGGGCCCGAGAGGGAACAATGCCCCTTGCTCAGCTCTCAGCCCGCTTTCAGTCACTCCCCACCCCCACATCCACAAGCAAATTGGGCCCTTCTAATGCTGATTCCCAGGCAGGTGGGTTTGTGTACGTTCTAGACCCCATGGATCTCTCCACTGGACTCTCCTGTGAGGCTGGTAGTTTCTCCTGCTGCCCCAACCCCCACAGATTTTTACTTCCAGGGGTTTTGAGGCTTTCTTTTCCCACAATGGAACCCTGGACTGTGCGGTCTGTCTTGCTCCCCAGCTGTTCCTCACAGTTTATCCACATGCAAATGTGGGACCACCCTGTCAGCCAGCTGCCGCTTTGCCACATGTCCTCACAGTCCCAGCTGCCTTTCTCCACTTTTCATACCGTTCAGGATGAATATTTCTTCTTTAGCTCCCTGGTTGTCAGACTTCCATACAGTTTGATTTTCTGGCAGTTCTGGTGATTTTTTGTTTTTAAATTGTAAATTTAAATTTAAATGTTGTCCTTTTGGTTGTGCGAGGAGGCAAAGTGTATCTACCTATGCCTCCATCTTGGTCGGAAGTCTAGGTGTTTTTTTTTTTTAAAGTGAAGAAAAAAGTTCTTTGACCTTCAGATTGCAATCAATGAACAACACATATATTGACTCTGGAAACATTCTAAATGTTCCAAGAACACAAAAGTGTACAATGTATGTACAGTACTAAAATGTTACAAAAATTTTTTAAAAAGAGAGGTGGGGAAGTGAGAATCTTGTGATATTTCAATCACTTACTTTAGCAATATAATAGCTATAAATAGGAAAATCATACCTTCTTTTGAGCCAACAGTGTTGAAGTACCCAGCAGAGAACCCTCCACTAAAGGCTCCATGAAACCGTTTATACCTTCCTTTTTCATCTCTGACAGTCTGGTCCTGAAGAGGAATTGGTTTCTTTGGTCTTTCACCTAAAAAAAAATATTTTGAATAAGAAAGAGAGAAGGGGATGGTGGATTAGAAAAAAATTAAGGAAAATGTCATTTCTTAAATATAATAAACTGTTCACTTCCTCTAACTTCAAATACAATAATTTTAATTAAGTTACTATTCCTAGACATCATTAGCTTATAGAGCTTAGGAAGCAATAAATTTTACCAAGGTTCTTTATAGTTCTAAAACAATTATAGATATCCTTTATTTATATGAGAAATGTTTTAGTAAAAAATGGCTTGTTTTTCCCACTAAGTTCCATTATGAAAATTGAATTACATCAGTCAAGGAGGTGAGCTCAAACAGATAGAAGTGATATCTGCTGATGACGAAGGTCAAATTGCTGGTGTGGTACATGGTATGAAGTTTGCAACAGAAGAAACACTTCTGTATCTCTTTTGAAACTTCACAGCAGCCCTGCCTCCAGAATTTTTCCTTTAGTACTTACTGCCCATTTTCCCCAAATCTTAAGAGTTTCCTTATTTCTGGGAATCTTTTGATTCTATAGTTACTCTTCCTTAAATTTACTCCTTTTCCTATTTTGCTGATAGGTGCTGGGTTGCTACATCACACAAACACAAAGGAACTTAATACATTGTAGCCTAGTCTAAAAGTTCCTTAGGTTTCAAGTTTCAGGTACTATGATACCAATTACTAATTTTATCAACTCCAATTCAAAATTCTAAATCCACTTAAAATAAAAAGTAACCATCAAATTACTTTCAAATATTCAATACAGAAAGCAAGCTGTACAGTAGTTAAAGGCACTCTGGATTTTAAAACCAACTCCACCTTTACTAGCACTGGGACTTCAGTCATCTTAACCTCTCTGTGCCTCAATTTCCTAATCTGTAAAATGGGGATGACACTAATCGTGATAACTATTTCATAGAACTGTTATGCAAATTAAATAAGATAATGCCTGTGAAGTGCTTAGCAAGAAAAGGGACACACAATAAATAGTTTTAAAATACTATTATTATTATTATTTATGATAAGTAAGATGTGTCCTAAAGTCCATGGTACCTGTTATTTCAATAATTAAGCCAGGTACTACTTCTGGGAGATGGAACAAAAAGTAAAGAAACTTCCAGTCTCATTGTCTTAATTAAATTATTACTTGTAAAAAAAAATTCTTACTTGTAGCTTATGATGTCTCTAAGTCATTTCCAGAATTCGATCCACAGTATTGTAGTCAAGAGCACAGATTCTGAAGACCAGATCTGGGATCAAACCTCCTTATGCTATTACTTGCTAGCTCTGTGAACCTGGGCAAGTTACTTGATCTCCCTAAGGCTTACGCAGAAAATTAGGACAATAACAGAGACTACCTTGTAGAGTGGTGCTGAGGATTAAATACCACATGCAGAGAGCTGAGTACAGTGCCTGATCTTAGCAAAGCTCAGTTAATATCAGCTACAATTTCATTTCACTCTAAAGAACTGAATTACAACTTAGGACCCACAAGCCAAGATTTTTACCATTTCTTAGAAATGCAGCACACACAGTCCATTACTGCATGTGAACCTGGCATGATTCTTGGCTAAGGCAGTTCTCAACCTTAGCACCTACTGCCAGTTTGTGCTGGACATTTCTTTGTTGTGAGGAACAGTCTTGTGCACTGCAGGATGTTTAGCAGCATTCCTGGCCTGTAGTAACTGATGACAGTGGCAATTCCCCCTTCTCCAGCATGACAACCAAAAATGTCTCCAGATATTGCCAAATGTCCCCTAGGAGGCAAAATCATCCCCAGTTGAGAGCCATTGGGTTAAGGTCAGAGAGGGTAGGTCCTGCCAATGCTAGGTGCTGTTCTTGCTCTGTTCTCCAGGTGCTTCTGATCTGAATAGGGAGATAACATCTGCAGACAACTACTGGGAACCTGTGGCAGCAGGTAAGGACCAACCACAGGGTTCCTGAGGAGGCGCCACCTCTAACCACAGCATGGAAAACTTTAGGGGGAAGGGGGTATTTTAGCCAGGCCCTATTATAATTATTGCTACAAATAACAACTAATTCCTTCTTGTCACACACATTATCTCACTTATCATACCCTGATAAGAATGCTTTGATTAGGTAACCACCCTGAGGGCCACAGCTAATAAGCACAAAGCTGAAATCAGATCTCAACTCTGCCTCCAAGCCAGGGATGCCACCAATACTATGTCCTTATGGGGAGTACTCATCCCCAACCAAAAGTTTACTGAGGACCTTGTCATGGAAGCAGCCCTGTTCTAGACCCTGGGTAGGGAAAACTAAACACAAGGCTGTTCCTATTCCCAGAGTGCCCAGGGCCCAGCAGAGGAGACCTGCATGTACAGGGACTCTTCTGATAATGTGTAAGGACCACAACATCACAGTCTCCCTAGGCATGAGCAGAATTTGATAGCTGCAGAAAGGGACACAGTTCCCAACAAGAAGCCTAAAAGGGTAATGGCAGATATTTGGAGATAGTAGTCTAGTCTGACTAGATGGCAGGGAAGGATCAGAAAAATGTAGGCATGGAAGATGAAACCAGAAGGGAAGATCCTGCAGAGGGCCTTGAGCATGGTGCTGCAGGGTCTGTGGTACGTCTTGTGGGGTGATGGGAGCCACAGACAGTTTTAAGTGGGAGAGTCACAGCTTCAAGGAGGAGGAAAATTGTCCTAAAATTAACCTGTATACAGGATGAGCTGGAGATGAGAACTCTAGAGCCAAGTGAAAATGTCTAAGGAAAGAGTAGATCAGCACTGGTGCCCGCTTCCTTCCAGGCCAGAGGGCCTATGTGTCTATGGGTCTATGTGAGACCACGCAGCCAACAAACCTTTCTATCAGGGACAGCAGCATTAAGGAGTGGAGTCCTTCTTCTACCAATGTTTGTCTAACCTGTCACTAAAACTTCAAAGCAGGAAGTGAAAATGATTATTGGTCTAGTATGTCATAATGTAAACTGTACTCAGAGTGCATTTAAACTTCAAAGTGCTTAGGAAACAATGAATCAATCCTCAAAATTTTCTAATAGTGAGAAGTTAAAGGATGAATTTTAGGCGAGGAAAAAAACAATCTACAAATTAAATGCCCCTTCCTTCCACTTTGAAAGAAAGGTTTGACCATTAGACTTCATTTCAGATTTTGTGCAACAACAAAACAGGAAGAATTAGAAAAATATAGGTCAAGTAGTTGATAGCTGACATATAACACGTCACTCACAAGGAAACAATTGTGAGACCAGAAATATAGAACGATGTCAACAGCTGCCTGACATGGTAGAAATCAGCACCACCCATGCATGTTTAACCCTTGTCCTCTCCCTGCATAGCTAAATTCTAACCAGTTTTCAAAGGACCCCATGCTGTCTTCTCAAATCTCCCTGTTAGCTTGTATAGGTTATTTCCTATCTACCATCACATACTTTTGTGCCTGAGAACCTTGTACCTTTGTTCTGTGGATGAAAAGGGGTTCTGCAATAAATCTGACAAGTCCAGTGACCTCACAGGGTGATCTGATCATAAATTCCTAACAGGCAGGTCATGGTGGACAGTCACACCCCAGGCATTTAACTTTTTTAGAAAAAGATTTACCTTCGCCACTGTGACTGGTGTTGTTCAGTGGGTTGGGTGTTGTCCCACAGACCAAAAGCTCGCCAATTCATATTCTCCATCAGGGCACATGCCTGGGTTTTGGGCCAGGTCCCCAACGGGGGGTGAGTGAGAGGGAACCAACTTATGTTTCTCTCCCTTTCTCCTTCCCTTCCCCCTCTCTAAAAAAATAAGTTTAAAAAATCTTTTTTTTTAAAGATTTATCTTTGCCTTAAGAAAGCCCTATCCATTGTTCGTATGCATCTAGGTTAATACACCTTTGAAATTCCAAAGTAATCCTCTTTTTCAGACCTGTCAGAGGTGTATCCACCCTCAAGGGAGCACAAAATGTGTTAACTACCCTGTAATCCCATCCCCACCTTGTTACCTGCCACTTTCACTTAATCTTCGTTGGGTCTCCTTAATTCCAAATGCATTTTTTTAAAAACCTGCAAGCTGTCATTTTAAGAGGCATTTTTCTTAGTCTGTTGAGATCTTGCTTCCAGGAAAATCTTCTGTTTGGTTAAAAAAAAAAATCAAACTCTTTAAAAAATTCTCTGCAGGCTTAGACCTTTCTAAACAAGTTGACAGCTCTCAACTAGATTCGAAAGTCCTCCAATAAAGGATCTTTGTCAACAAATTTTTTGAGATCATGGGGTGATGTATTTGCCAATAAAGCTAATGTAATCTTAGGCTGTATTACAGTCTAAAGAAACACAGTCTAGAATGAAGTACACGCTAGTGACTAGTGGGGACAGCCCTGCTCTATCCACATTCTGGCCCCATACTTGGAGAAAGGCTTTAACAAATTAGGGTAGAGGACTTTAAAGTGAATGTATCTAGAACTGAAGGCGTTAAGGTTGGTATAGAGATGTATTAAAAGAAATTTAAATCCTGTCTCCAAACACATGAAAAGCTCTCAGGAGACTAGCCTTACCCTGTCTTTTGTAAGCAGAGGGTGGAAGCTGGGCCAGTATCCAGCTGAAGTTTCTAATAATTAGAACTGTTCTTAGGGAATAAAAGGATCATCAGTGGAAATGTTCCAGAAGTACAACCAACCTGGCAGCATGTGGTCAGTGTAGGAAAAGATCTCGTTCACAGAGGGTCTACAAGTAACTCCTAGCCCACCGTGCTACCTTTGTCTGTCCCGCAGGCAGCGTGGCCATCAGTCCCTACCGGGCCTTACTGAACAAATCAAATCATTAAGTGGATCAGACCAGAAACATGGTAGAGAACCTTGTTTCATCTTGCCCTTCCCTACATTCCACCAGCAAGTTCCATCAGCTCTGCTTTCAAAGTAGGTTTCAACCCAGGCTACTACTTACCAAGGCCACTGCTACACTACAGTCCAAGACATCATCGTCTCCAGGCTTCCTTTTTGCTGATCCTGCTTCACTCTTGTCCACCCCCCAACGCGAAGCCTATTCTCAAAATCTACAGAATCATCTTTAAAATATACATCTCTCACTTGTGTGAACTCCCCGATGACTGTCTTACACTTCGTATACAAACCCAAACTCTCTGCTCTACCGACACCAGTCCTGCCTGTCCCTCAATGTGCCAGACTGGCTCCGACTTCAGAGCCTTTGCACTTGCTGTTCTCTCTGCCTGAAATGCTCCTCTCTCCAGATCTTTGTGCGGGGGGTTCCTTCCTCTGATTCAAGTCTGAGGTCAAACGTGCTCTCCTAGTAAAGACATTGCCTGACCACCCCAAACAACGCTCTCACAAGAGCTTGCTTCGTCTTCTTCCTATTTCCAGTCCAACTGAATCTCTCAGCCGTCCCTCCAGAAGGTGAGCACCCCGAAAGCTCGGCGCACGCCTTTCTCATCGCTGTTCCCAGCGCCCGCAGTGAGAAGCCTTGGCCCCGGGGCCAGCCAAGGCCCGGCACAGGGTTAAGCGTTTCGCCCCGAATCCTGGGCCCCCGGCCTGTTTTCTAAAGGCCCATACCTTCTTCCAGTGGCTCCAAGCCTCTCCCATAGCTGACCAAGTCCTCGTCGCTGTCACTATCCAACGCCGCCATCCTGCTGCCTTCCGGGCTCCGCCCCCTCGCTACGGCGGCCTCGATAGGCCAAAAGCCGTCCGCTCTTTCTGCTCCTCAAACCTAAGCCTCTCGCCTAAGACCTGCAGCTATAGGTTCTCAAATCGTCTGCGGAAGGCGAACCCCGCCGGCGTTCCCTCGGAGGCTTTGGTTGACTCGGTGTCCCCATCCTACGAGGCTCCTTGGAGAAGCTGGAAACCACCCAACTGTCGGCCTCGGGGAAGGCTCCCCAGCAGACGACGACCCCCCGCCCTCTGCCCCCCCCCCGCCCGACCCTCGCACCATCCTGCGACCTGCCGAGAAAGTACGTGTGCTTGCACATGCAAACACACACACGTCACTCAGGTTTGCTTAAGTGGAGTCCCCTTAGAGACCTTTGAAAGGATTCACAGACGGGGATACCCCGATGCTTAAGGTAAAGGCAGCTCCGAACAACGTTTGATCACAGAGAAAAATAAACAAGAGAATAAGAGAAAAGGAGAAAAAGAAAGGGATAAGGAGAGGGATAGGGAAAGAGGAATAGAGAGAAAAGGGAACACCTGAAAAGCGAAAGAAAAACGAGAAAGAGGAAAGGAAAAGCAAGCAGACAAGCCAAAAGTTGTGAGATGCATGGTGGATGCCGAGAGCTTCCTTCCTGAACCTAAAGAAACGAACGTCTGTCAAATGGGGTGCTGTTATCCCACCCCAAAACTCTTTTTACAGAAGAAAAAAATGAACCTCATCTAGTAAGGGGTGAGGCTGAGCTGAAAACCAGATCTGGAAGCCGAGGTTTTCAAAATGAGCGTCAAAAGTCTGTGTGAGTCAGTCTCTAGGATGTTTTTAAAATGTCCATCCCACCCCCAGACCTCCTGAATGGGCATCTCTGGACCTGGTGCTGATACTTGATCACTCCAAGCACCTCTGATCTCAAGGCCTTTGTATACAAGTCATTGTTCCCTCTGTTTGAATCTTCTTCCCCCAGATACCACAAGACCCATTGCCTCACCTCCTTCAGGTCACTGCTCAAAGGTTACTTTCTCAGTGAAGCCTTCTCAGACCCTATTTTAAAAACAATCTCTTTTTGCAACACTTTCTATCCCCCTTACCCTACTTGATATTTTTTCCCCAACACTTATTCTCTTTAACACACTATATAATTGGATTTGCTTTATTATATCTATTGCTTTTCTTCATTGTAATGTAAGCTCCACAAAAAACATAGACTTCGCTCAGGTGTTTTGGATTTTTTTTTCCTTTTCTGTATCCTCAGAGATTAGAATCATAATTATCAAGTAGTAAGCACTCAAATAAGTTTGAAAGTAAGAATGAATAACTAGTTAAATAAGTCATGGTTTCATACCGTTAAAAAACAAAAGTTTAAAAAAACATACAGTTTTAACACATAGCCTCAAAATTGTTTGACACATCTCTCATCAAGAAGTGGAGGCTATCAGTAGACAATACTGGCAGGGTCGGGTTATTAGGATACAGACTACTTTATTTTAATCAATGGTTGTGGGGGAGGGGTGCCTGGAGAAAACAAAGTCACTTCCCTTTTTTGAAAGAAAACTAAAACTTGGAAAAAATCTTTGTTCAGTGAAAATCAGGTAGAATTTAATTGTCCCTAAGACACAAGGGAGCAGTTCCCCTGAGAAGTGAACAGTGGGGACTCAAAATTCTGAAAACATTTGGGAAAAGGGAAAATGGGCTTCCTGTTAATTGGCAAATGTTCCAGTGGGGCTTTTTGTTTTTACCGGGATGTGTTATGTTGTGTGTGCATATATGGACTGGAGTCTCTGCTAAGTCTATAAAGTTCTGGAAGGGTGATTGATACAGTCTTGATTTTTGTTACTTTATCTCAATAAAAGCCCACTGGGACTCCAAAAAAAAAAAAGTGACATTTGTGTCCTCACCTCTTAAATCTAGCCTCCATGACTACTTGAGCAAAAGAATATGAAAGCACAGGGGGCAAGGGGGAGATAGAAGAGGGGGAAGGGGGAATAAATGGTAATGAAAGGAGATGTGACTTGGGATGGTGAACACACAATACAATATACAGATGATGTATTATAGAATTGTACACCTGCAACCTATATACTTTTATAAACTAATGTCACCCCAATAAATTTACTAAAAAATGTTTAAAAAGAATATAGTGAAAGCAACAATAAAACAATTGCCACATCCAGATTTTAAGAGACTGGCAGATTCCACTTTCTGCTTCTTGGGATGCAGGCTCTTGGAACCCAAACTTCTGGTTCCAAAAAGGTAAAAGGAACTGCAAAATTCATTTTCTGGAGTATCTGAGATCTTGCTTCCCAGCAATTGTCATCAGTTTAGCTCAAATGAATCTTACAAAAAATTACTTATAAGTATGGACATTCTGACATTTGCACAACTTGAACACCAAGTGCCCTTCCTGTCCTACTCAGTTAAGCAAGAAGGCAAAAATCTCAGAATCTTATCAGGAAACTGCAGATAAGAATTTCTTCCTCATGGTCCACACATCAGTGCTGGCTGTGGGATGGTCAGTCATGACATTAAAAAACACCTTCCTGCTCTGGCTGGTGTGGCTCAGTGGCATGAGTGCCAACCTGGGAAACAAAAGGTTGCCAGTTCAATTCCTGGTCAGGGCACATTCCTGGGTTGTGGGTGTGAGAGATCCATGTCTGCCTGTCTGTCTGTCTCTCTCTCTCCCCGCTCTCTCCCTCTCTTCCACTCTCTCTAAACATTAATAAATAAATCTTTTAGAAAAAAGAAAAAAAGAAACCCTTTCTCTGTGCTTTGGGAATCAGCTTTGCTCTTTTTTTTTTCATTGTACTTTCTTATTGGAATATAACATATATACAGAAAAAAGTGCACAAATCATAAACACAGTTATATTCATTTTCACAAAGTGAACACACCCATGTAACAATAAGCAAATCACAAAATAGAAAATTTCCAGAATCCCAGAAGCAATAATACCAGAATGGACTCATATTGTCTGTTTTGTACTTTATATAAAATGGAATCATACAGTATTTTGTCTAGCTTCTTTTGCTCAACAGTACTTTTGTACGTAAAATATTTTGCTCACAACATACTTGTTGCTTTTGATAGTAATGTATTCATTTTCATTTTGTAAATTTCTATGTCAGTATGTCACAGTTTATCCATTCTACAGTCAATGGCGTCAGGGAGGAAAATTTTTTCCCTATCCTTCAAAATTCTTCTGGGTGATATAATTAAATTAACATGAGGCAGATTAGCAGGAGAAAAACAAATTAAGTTTAATAAAATGAATACCTCCTGTATATGTGGGAGAGACCCAGGAAACTGAGTAACTCACCAAAATGGCAGAAGCCATCACCTTAAATACCACCTTCAGCTAAAGACAAGAGAAGGTGTTTCAGGTAGAGTTGGTTATGGGAGCTTACCAGAAAAAGTACAGGAAGCAAGGGTAAGATTGTTACCAGATTCAAGCCCATGCCTTCTCTATTGATAATGAAGTCATGACTAGTACACTGAGGAAAACCTCTACAAATAGAGTTTTCCCTTATAAATGCAAATGTCTTTTTACAAAGGGTATCCCCTACTTATATTTCTGAGCTTCTCCCATGTCTGCTGTTTCTTGAAATTACCCAGCCTAAAATGATCAATATCCCAAGGAGGTATATTTTGGGGTGGCAAACTCTGCTCCCCCCAGTCCCACCTTCAAAACTTCAAATAAGAATTTTCGCATTTCAGGAACCAGGTTAATATATTGTTCTGTATCTTATTAAATCAGTTTCAGTCTCTTTGGTTTTGTTCTTGTTTTTGTTTGTTTTTATTACTCAAAAGAGCTTCATTTTTTAATTTAGCTTTCTGACTCTGCACTTGTGCTTTCAATACTTTTGCAATGATTTTATGCTCCTCAATAAGAAAAGCATGTCCTACCACAAACATACTTACACACACATGGATCTACCATAGGACCTGCTGACATGTATTTTCATTTTATGTATTCATTTGCATTCACTGATTTTAGAAAGAGAGGAAGGGAGGAGAGAGAAACATCAATGTGTTGTTCCAATTATTTGTGCATTCACTGGTTGCTCCTTGTATGTGCTCTGACCAGGGGTCAAACCCACAACCCTGCTGTATCAGGAGGATGCTCTAACCAACTGAGCTACCCGGCCAGGGTTGTTTCTTCATTTTAAACAACCTCATCTGAACTTTAGGTCTCATGGCAGGAACTCCACAGAGTTGGTTTAGTCACACAGCACATGCAGATTTTGGTGCTTTCCCAACCTTCTTGGTATAAAGGTGAACAATTCTATTACCAGAGGTCTGGGACAGCTGTCTTTTGTTAGAGGCTATATTGTTGGGCAGCCTCCATGGGTGTATCAAATGCTTGACTGTTCTGAGTGTCTGCAAACACCATCCCCAAGGGAAAAAATAAATGAGCTTAGTCTTAGAAACAGGTCAGTTTGAGTGTCCTCCTTGGAGCGTGCCTGTGCCCTTCTCTGGGGCACATAATTTTTTTTTTAAACAATGGGGACCTCCATGGGGCTTGCGGCCAAGGGAACCGTGCACAGCAAAACCCCTAAACCTGTCTTCAAGGCCCTCTTTCTGTTACTTTCCAGTGAGCCAACAGCAGCCCTGCCATGGCTTTCACCTCTTGCTTCTTCTATCCTAAGCCCTTCCTTGTTTCACTGTTCTCAGATTTAATAAATATATTCTAAAAAAAAAAAAAAAGGCCAGTTTAGTTAAACAGTTGTGTCTCATTTTAGGAGGCAGTGATGCAGATTGAGCTTCCAAAGTTAGGCCTATATCGTGTAAGCAAGCAGTCAAGTATTTAATAAGAGACCTTTGTATGGAAACAATAACAAAGGTTAATGATTGAAGCAGACTATCATCCCACTTTCTGAGTTCTGACGGCAAACAGTCTAGAAGATTTCTAGGTCAGGGTGGTAGGGTGGTAGCATCTTTTGCAGTGTGAATGTCTCGAGTGGTGTCACTGGGTATTCAGGTAAACTCCTCAAGCGGCTTACACAGCAAA